AATAGTCATGTTTTTCTTTTGCATGATGAGGAGTTGATCAGCAATGTTTTTACATGGTCGTCGAGGTTGGTGAGCCAGTGGACGGCCTCAGGAGTAACCTGGGGACGATATAATATTCTGCTAAAGTGGGCACCGCTGTACTTTGTGGTCCTTTGTGTGAGATTGGTTGACTGCATTTGCACAGCAGGCTATTCTTAATTTTTCATCAGTGATGCGGTTCAGCACAGTCTTCTGCTTGCGAAGCAAGCTGAAACTGTGAGGCTCTTCTGTGTGGTCGGCGATTAAGCACTCGTTTGGGACATTGCATTGTCCCTGGTTGCTCTCCGCTGAGCCTCAGGATTGAATGAGGGCACTTTTAGAGCTTGTGCCCGACCCCAAAGAAGGTAGCCACACTTTAATCGAGACTTTGAGAAATCCTTTATGTCCTTTTGTAGACACAAGACATTTGTGCATCTCTCTTGGAAATTTGGAAGGAAATATGTGGGAGAAAATTGACAGCCAGTCAACCAGCGTTGATTTTAAGTGACCTAGTTATGATGCACATCGTGATGTTGAGATGCATTTCTGGAGCCTCGGTGTGGGCGCTGGCAGACCAGACTGAACGCAGAATTTGGCTCTTGCTCCTGTATGGAGCATGCTGCCGTTGGCTCTCCATGCTGTCCCTGCGAATTTTCATTTGAGGTTGATCCAGGCTTTGACCTTTTTGCATTCCTTTTCCCTGTGTTCAGGTTAGGCCAAGATATTTCAGGTTAGGTTTATTTTTTTTCCTGTTGACAACATAAGGTGACATTAAGTGGCTCTTTGGTGATCTTTTTGAGGTGGAAGGCTGTCACTTGTTTTAGAGGAGTTGGTATGCAGTTTCCAGTGGGAAATATAAATGTTCTCATTGCCTTGAGGTCAGTGGTGAGGATAGCACGATCGTGGTGAGACTCGTGCTTTGAACCAGGAGGACAATGTCGTCGGTGTATATGATCTTTCTGGAAACCGTGTTGTGTCTGCCAGAACCTTGTGGCAGGCCATCGTTGAGGGTCCTTGTTCTGCTTATATGACCACTTAGGTGGATGCGGTATTCGCGGTCAGTGACTCTATTCGTGCTGCTGCTGTCTCTAGGTCACCACTCTGCTAGGCTTCATTAGGAGTTTTTTTTTCATTTCTCTCTCCCAGTAAAGGAGTATAGGCCTTGTAATAGCCATGTAGGATATCTATTTTATGGCAGACATGACGAAGGTGTGGGCAAAGATTTAAACTTTTCTGTTGTTAGTTCGATGTGCTGCATGTGATCCTGAACTTCTGCAGTGTACGTGGCCCAGTTCGCTTTCCGGAAGTACCAGAGCCGCTTCGGCATTGAGTCGATAAGTGAAACCTTGAGACCAATTTGCAGAATGATGGGACAGTGTTAGCTATGGAAGAAGTACTGCAGGACAGTATGTGATGCAGACAAAGGCATTCACTTGCTGTCATGAGAGAAAACATACAGCTGGGTAGTGCTTATTTTTCGACCTCGCGGAATGGAATGTGCTCGGCTGCTTGGGGTCATATAATTGATGGACATCTTCAAGTGAGGCCCAGTCAGTGAACTGTGCACCGGTTGTGTTGTTTTGGCGCATCCCGAGTCTGCGGTGGCTGCTAAGGTTGCGAACGTAGACGGCTTCGTGGGGAAATGTTGGCAGTGCACGGTTTCGAGCTCTCGGTGTTTGGAGGCTTCTAAACAGCAACCTTTAGGTGGTGCCCATGCTGCGCATTACGTATTCGTGCTTGGGCTAGGATGTCGTCGAAAGACGACTGGACGTCGACTTGTCGTTCTCCCGGTACAATCATCATTTCAATTACCCTTATAAGGGATGCCAACAACAAGTAGGGTGGAAGCTGCGTGGCTAACAACTCGGTGCCGAAGGCTTGTCACGCACAAAGACTGACCACTGTTCAAGGACCCTCAAGGACAATAAAATTGATGTAGTTGTCCTGAAAGAGACCCAGCATGGAAGACGAGAAAGCCGCGAGATACAAAATCCTTGGCCACGATCTCATCACTTTTGTAAATGATGGAAAGCACAGCCTGGCCACTTACATGAGATGTGGCCTTAAAAACGTCACAGTTCTGGAGGACTTCAAAAACATGGGAACCTCCCCTGCCATTGTAATAGCGTGGCAAAATAACCTGAACTCAATAGCTATTCCCAAAATCTTAAGATCAGAACTAATAATTCACTAGCATTATCCCACAGATGTTTTAGCTGTGTTCCTAAGATTCAATGGTCAGAAAAGGTAATTGATTAAACATGAGGAAGTGAGTAAGCACATCAGTGTGAAAAAAAAGAAGACAAACGTCAGCACCATATGTAGACCCTGCGGCTTGTGTAAGTGTAGCCGTATTGTGGCCGCTGCATAGGCCTAAACGAATTTAATACCTTTAGAGAATTTAAAATTGCATTTGAGTTCAGTGTGCCGAACTGAATTGCTGGTTTAGTGTTAGCAGTGCGAAGAATTGACGGACATTGAATGTTTACAGTTTCCAGTCAGTGGTGGATCCGAGTTAGGACGATGAAGGTGATCAATCCCCCCTTCCCTCACACTTGAGAGCCAAAAAAGTTGGTATGTCATTGATAAAGTCAAGTAGAATGGAAATAAAATAATAAAAATAAAACAATAAAATAAAATTCTCACGACGTTTCGGCCACAACACAAGTAGCCTTCTTCAGGTGAAGAAACAGGACTGTCCAGAAGACAGCGCTTGAGTGAACACTGCCAAGAATGGACCACGTCTTTTAAGCTGTGTGGGCGGAATTAACATATGAATTGGTATTTTATTATGTTTTATTTTTATTATATTATTTCCATTCTACGTGACTTTACCGAAAGAACCAAGAAGATGAATCCCTGCAGTCACGAAAGCTTTAAATCGAAAAATGTCATTGATATTTACCACGGAAAGTACATTGAAGGTTTTATTTGAAAATTTGAAGGGTCCTATTTAAAAATCTTGAAATCTCGGGACTAACCTAACCCCTGGGAACTTTGTGGTTCCGCCTCGGGTGCCATTAAAACTCTTCGGTAATTTGATTTTTTTTCGCTGCAGGTTCTGATATTGTTTTTCACCTTGGCGTATCGTGTGCACAGATTATACAAGTGACAGTTGTTCTTTTTTTACTTCACTGTCGGATAAGAGGGAAACACAGTGATGGGATGCATCCCACAAGTCGCCCAGTTGCGTTGTAAAATATAAATGCGGCTGCGCTCATCTGATTCTCAGTGAAGCTTGCCGAGGGACGTCATTTAACCACAGGATGCATTTTTATTTTTGCATTTGTGCTTTGTTTATCCAGTCTAATGGTTACATTTTACACCAAATATAATACTATATTATTAAAAATGAAAATGCTATGTACTTATGAACATGGACACATGAAAAAATGGTTTCAGCAGCCTTGCTCCTTGAAGGTATTGACGATAAATATGCATGCATTGGCACACTTCCAATTTCATATTTATTGATCCTGGTTTTCCTGTGTGGGTTGTAGGACAGTTTATAGTATCCCCTGTTAACACCGTCACAAAAGATAGGGGTGGGTGCAATAAGCTACTGTTGCAAAGGTGTACGTTCTGCAGAATTAATGTCGCTATCGTTGTGTTTGAAACACCGAGGGGGAAATGTAGAAAGGCCTGACCACTCGTATGAACATTGATCTAATCATGGCGATCCCCCCTCCATGTCTGAGGTCACTACCCATTTGTGGACATGTCTGTGGCTCTGCTGCAGATCGGACCAGATGCATGGTCACTTGCTGGGGATCTCTTAAGTGCTGCCCACTCTGTGGAAGCGATGAGTCACACTTGGTCTTTTAAAGCCATGCAATGACATCACCAGTGTTCCGCAGTCCTGTGGATTGTCCGACAAGCTTCCAGAGGTGTCAAGAGAGGTTTTTTTTCTTTTCGGCACTGCATTTTAAACTGAACAGTGCCATTCTCTTGCATTCATTGACTATAGCGAAGGTTTTTTTTTAAAGGTGGCCATTGGTTTGTTTCAGCTATTATAATTCTGTCGAAGACATATACCGAGTAATCACAACCATTTTGAAACACTTATATAAAAGCCAAAGTGCTTCCGTGAGAAAACTATTTTTGCCGCTAAATAAATCACGACTGAAATGTATACCTGGAATCACTCTCATATGCCGTGTCGGAATAATCGCCTGCACTGATCTCCGAACGCAGAACGTGGATTTTTTTTTTATTCCACCATGATGCCCACACTGGAGGGATATGCATCACGAACAGATTTACAAGGCCCTGGTTATTGTCGTTGCTTCCCTCTTTCTCCGGTTTATTCACGTCTCCTTTTATAGTTGCGTTGACCTGGTCAGCATCCCCACCGGGAGGCTCACCAAGCATGGCTAGACTTGTGTAAGGCAGCATTGACTGGAGGAATATCCTGTTAACCTTTCTCTTTATCTTGCAAAGACACTTTGGGTGCCGTCGATGCAAATACCGTATTGCACGTTGATTTCTTTACGTATTTTTGTTTTTACGTTTGTGTTGATGCCTGAACGTGTGGCCGAGTAACTTGACGGATAAGTGCTAACTGTGCTGGGTTTTCTGGCTCCATTGAGAAGCTTAAATATTGGGGCATTAGCATACGAAAGACTGTAAATGTCCGTGTGATGTAGTCTTTGCGGTAATTTATTCCATTGATTCCATTTAACATTATGCAGTAGTTGCTGGGTGCCTTATGTCCAAATAAATGCTGGAATAATATGTACGCACGCTCTGTATGCTCTGTGTATACCCACCGTGTTATGTGCACCGTCCTTAGTCTAGTGAAACAAAAATGTGGATATTTCTACAGTGTTGTAAATATATATGAATTGTGTGTGTATGTTTTCACATCTCTATTGTGTATGTAATGTATAGCTGGTGTGTACTGTATACAGAGGGTCTAACATTTGACCTTTACACTGATGTTGCAGATATTGACGTTTCCTCCCATTTAATGCTTCTTTCAGAGATGGAGTCTGGGGAGAGAATCCCAGCCCCTACTCCCTCCTCGGTCTCCTCTCCACCATCCGTCTCCTCCTCCCTCTCCTCTGCGTCCCTGCCTGCATCGTCATCCCCATCATCGGCAGTGGCCGCAGCAAGCAAGGCGTCTCCCATCTCCGTGTCGGATCTCTGCTCCACGTCTAAACCCGGCAAGGTGCCTGGAGGAAGCACCTTCGGTTTCGACGCAGCCACCCTGTTTGGTGAGCTTGTCCACGTATTCCGCCAAATCGTTTATCTCGCCGATCGCACCTCAGCATTTGCTGTTTTCTGCTCCCATGATCCCTTGTATCTCTAGGGATTCCCAAAGAGGATTTCAGGAGTGACATTTTGTTAAATCCTTTGCTTGACATCAATTCCGATCACCTTGAATTTGATATTTTCCTATGAGTGGAGCAAAACAAAATTGGGCCTATTGTGTGTTTGTTGTGTGCTAAGCTGCAAGTGCTTAAGGCGGGTGGATGCCTTTAAATTCTTCACTCTCACTCCATCAAGACGTGGCCTTGTTTACCATTGAGCCAAATGCATTGTCTGACATCTCCCAGAGTGGGGCCACATCCAGCACCGCATCGCGGGGACCATGACGCCGTGCCCTCCTTTGTTTTCGTGCCACAGCAGCTCAGACAATGCTGCGGCCGGCCACATCGGACCAGGCGCCTTTCAGCCTCTTCCCAGGGCTGGTCCCACCTCCGTTCGGCCTGCACACCGTACCGGGCCGTGCTGAGTTCGCCAGGCTTGGTGCACTGGCGGTGGGGCCGGGCCAGCTGGCCATTGCCACAGGTGGGGCAGCTGGTGGGTGTGCGAGTGATGTGTTTGTGTTGCCCATTGTGGAGTGCAGTTTACGGTTTGTATGGTGGTTGTCCTCCTTGTTTGTCCGTTTGTGCAGTATGATTGCTCGTCGCACAGGTGAGGAGGAGGGAGGGGCCTGGGGCTGGGGTCAGCCCGGAAGGTCACGATTGGAGTGCCTTTCTGCTTCGCCACGGCCCATGTTGCGATTTTGCTTGATGTGATTGCTGCGTGTTGGCTGAGGGTGCTTTATTTGTGTTTGTATTGATTTTCGAAATTTTATTGCCGACCATTCCAGCGATATGACCCCGTGTTCTCTGGGTAATGCATTTTCAAATTCTAGAAGGCCACAAATGAGCACAGCTTAAAAAAAATGTGACTACTTAATTTTTTTATGGCATTCTAAGCAGTTTGCTTAAATGCAAAGTCACACAGCACATATTTCAACTACCCACAGACAAAGAGTGTTCCAAATAGAGCAAGGCCATGTGCTGGAAACACTTGTTTTGTTCGTGTAATGAATACATCACAACAGCAGAACGGTGTGTAATTACTGGCAGTGAGAATACTCCACTGCTCGGTTGCCTGGAGACTGTTAGATATTACACAAGAACGCCAGAAATCTTTGAGCATATTATAATTCATTATCATTTGTTGTTGCTGAATGCACTGCATTACCAGTGGGGGTTTTCTCTTACTTTGAAATGAACGTAATGTGCATGATGCAGCGTTTTACTGATATGGTGATATACATTACCAAAAACACTTGGGGAAAAATTGGCCAAATATTGGAGGCAAGACTCACCTTAAAGAGATTCTTGAGACATTCCTGGGTAACGAAACAATTATTATAATGGAGTGCAATTGTGATGTATGAGCTACTGTGGAAACTACCCCCCCCCCCTCATTTACAATTAATACTGTTAAACAACAAGATGATGGTGCAGTAGAGTGATCATAATTTCCATTGTTATGTCTTTTTATTTTAGATTTTCATTTGTGCATGCCCCTCTCCCTGGCAGCGGCCGAGTGGTTCCGGGCATCGCACAGGGCCCCTACGGTTGCCACGGTGACGGCCACACGACCGGGCCCATCGCTGCTCCCGCCCGCGCTGTTCGGCCTCTCCCCGCAGCTCCTGGCCGCGTCTACCTCGGCCATCGCATCCCAGCCGCCTGATGGGGCCGGGGCCAGCAAGCACGCCAGCGATGCGGCCCCTGCACCCTCGTTTGCCCCCGCGGCCGCCCCGGCAAAGACGCTGACTGCCCGCGAGCCTTTGGACCCGGCCATGGCATCGGCCATGTCGCTTTCGCCCAACACGGCCATCTTTGGGCAGAATTCACAGAAAGGTGCCACGAACGTGTATATTTGTTGAAGCCCACAGGGTTCATTGTAGTCATTACATTAGCAATTCCCCACGGGCACAGGAACCGGAGCACAGAGAGATCTTTGGGACAGGCACTGAGTGTGCGACCCTGCAACCTATCTTCCCTAGGACGATCTAACCAGGATGCACTTCCTGCTCTCGGGCCAGAGTGCTGGGGGAGCTCAGCCACCCAATATTTGCGAGAGTGAATGCGCAGTAATGCAGACTCCATTTCACATTGTTTGGAGAGTATAAATCGGCTAGATTTGAGTGAAATGTGAAGCAGTATTAAGTGGGGCATATCCAGGTGTTATTAGTGTTATAATTGTGAAAGGAATGACACTTTTACGTTGTTTTCTTTGATTATAATTGTACTTCCAATTGGCCGAATATTTTTTTTTTATTTACATTTAAAAGAATGTGAATTTGGTGTGTGAATTCGACGTGATAAATTTCATGTGACCAACAACATCATTGAGTGCATTCTTATTTTCATGCATACTCCTACATTCTTGAAAGCAGAGTACAGGTGCCCTTGAATGCCACCCTTGACTGCAGGTTTCCTGCTTTCCAAACAGTGCCCACAATTTAAGAATTTTAGAAAAGCAAGAAGCTTTGAACAGATTTACTATACAATCACGCAGCCGTTGAGCGTAATCTCAGCGTAGGGTAATGCTCAGTGCGTGGTCGTGCACAGCGGCTGGTGGGCAGATTTTTGCGTTATTCTGTTGGCGGGAAATGCTTCCCTGCATCGCTGCCTGTCTGCACGTTGCATTGTCGCAGTGCTATGCTTCAACCTACATAAAATTCAGATGCGTCTCGCACAACGGAGACCCGATGGCCCCCCTTCCTGACGCATGCAGGAGTCAATGGCTCAGTGAAGGGCGGCTCCATGGGCCGCGCCATCCCCTGCACGAGCTCGGGCACAGGGCCGGAGCGGCCAGGCGCCATCCACGTGCGCGACCGCAAGACGCCCCCGGCGGCCGACGGAGAGCGGAACGACAAGAAGGGCTCCCTCAATAACGTTAATGAAAAGGTAATGGGAAGTGTCACGTCCTTGCAGGCTTGCAGGGGCGAGGCCAGCGGGTAAAATTAAACTGTTCTCTTTTATTAGTTTAAGGTAGATTGAAATCATTGCCGGTCCATCCTGTCCTTTATTGCATTTATAATTGTGGTGGAGTGAAACCCCCATCAGTGCCTTGTTGTTTGTGAATGTTGCACATTTTGTTCATTGTTAGTTTGTGGTCTTTCCATCCGACGCCACCCTTTTCCGTTCAAGGATATTTTCATCCCTCACCTACTATCCTTGCTCTGCTTCTCTCTATTCCTGCGTTGTAGGCTTCTGCTTAGCATCTGAGACCTAAAAAAATTCAGCTCACAGAGTTGGCAGTTATGTGGGTGATGGAAGTGGGAAAACATTGATAAATTATTTTTTTGCTGTTTGTTTACATTTGTCATTGTGTGTGAAAGTGTTGGTGTATTCACACCGCCACTTAATGTTCGCTGCCTGGCCGAAGTGACTTGCTGTACAACCTTGGTCACCTTCCTGTGAATCATAGCCACAGGTGACATCAGTGCCTTATAGTATCGAAACCTCTTCTGGGTCTTATGTAGGCAACTCAGCTTCAAAATGAGAACTTGGCCTGGTGTGTTGAACATCAGGAGACAAAGCCATTATCCTGGCCGCATCATTCCGTGGATGCCGTGCTGGTCCAAGGTAGGTGCCTGTTTCAGCACTTGCCCCTTTAGTCTGTGTTGCTAAATGGGGTACCTTTGTCTTTGCATATGTGCGTACGTGCGTGTGTCTTTGTGCATGCGTGCGACAGGCTTCCCACGATGCTGAGCCCCACAGCTGCAGTGAGAGTGAGAGCCACTCCGATTCGGCGAGCGGTGGCTCCCTCCAGAGCGAGCTGAGCTCCAGCGACTCCGACTCCGACACGGACGATGCGGAATCCGACTCTGCTGAGACACCGCCCCGGGCTGCCCGCGTTGAGAAGCAGCAGCCGGTATTCCTTCATTATTATGAAAACCTTCTTCATAGAAAGTGATAAAGTGACAAAGATTGAAACATCCATTTCATTATTTGAGCTATCTATGGGAATCATAGCCGTCTTCAGGGTTAGCTTTTGTCTATTTTAGAGTAAAAATGAACTCTTATGTATAACTTGCCTTTTGCCCATCCAAGGACAGGTGTATTGCGGTAAATCTGAAACTTGCAACCGAAAAACAGACCGCGACGTGATATTCATTGCATCAATTCGTGTGCAATTTGTAAGGCCGCGGTGACAGACTTATTTAATCTAAAGGTTATAATCCCTTGTTCATCATGACGTCCTTTTTACTTCTATGTCTCAATAGCGTTCTATGTCTCAATAGCGTAACTTCGTAGTGAGGGTTGTTAGTTGACGCTGAGGAGGGGGGAGGAGGCGCCTCGCCCCCCCATGTGGAGTGACGTCACCCGCTAATTATTAATGGGGGGGGGGGGGTGTCCATTTGGAGGACGTCACCTCTTCATGATTATTAATGAGGGTGGGGGGAGGACGTCACCTGCTCATGATTATTAATGGGGGGGGTCCATGTGGAGGACGTCACCTGTTCATGATTATTAATGGGGGGGTACTCCATGTGGAGTGACGTCACCAGCTCATGATTATTAATGAGGGGGGGGTCCATGTGGAGGACGTCACCTGCTCATGATTATTAATGAGGGGGGGGTTCATGTGGAGGACGTCACGTGCGGGACACACAGACGTTCTTGGCTCATTATAGTAGTAAATACTGGAGGGTTATAACGCAATCTATCCCAAAAACGTTTATTATTAATAATATTGGTCGCGAAAGCCTACGTGTTAAATACTGCTTGCTATGTTTTACACTTTTTCCCAAAAATTTTGTATAAGCATCTATAAGCAAGAAAGACCAACGTCAATTGCGTTGCAATAATCAACTGCTTCTGGCTGTGCCAGTGTGATGAGTGTAAGGCACAATTCGAACATAAGCGGGGTTGAATATTATTTGCCTAGTTGAAACAGCTCGCCAATTTTACATGGCTTTTAAAAGTTCTAACTTAACCTGCTCTTTTGCTATGTTGCGCATTACTATTCTACTTGGTCCCATCTGCATTTCTGTCTTTAGCGCTTTTTGCAAAGAGCCTAGATTTTACATGGATTGTGCTTTCAAAAAAATGCTGCAGTGTTCCAAATCTCAGTTGTGCGACATTATTTGGAAAATAAATTAAACAATCTTAGATACAATGGACAAAAAATGTAGTGTCACTAATAAAAAATGTTTTACTTTATTTATTCAGGAAAGACTCACTTGAGTGTCAAGACTTTTCGACTCACTTCTGCTTGGGATGTTTGATCTAATTATTTATGAGCATAATTTGCATGTAAGAAGAAACTAAAGGGCTTCGAGAAAACCCATGCCATGGCAGGATAATACTCTAAAATCTGCACAGATCAGTCAGCAATTAATTTTCCGTATGTGTCATCTATTGAAAACCATAGAAAATACTGAATTACAGGCATTAGTGCCTGCAAGAGTAACACGATTAAGACCTTCGACTCCCGTGCTATATTCTGCGCTATTTTAATTTTGTTTTAAAATCACAACATCGAGAATCTGCTTTCGCTCATGTTCCGACAGAAGGATCTGAAAACGAAACTGGAAAAGGACTCCTCGGATGGGGGCGGCCGCACCCAGCATCACTTTCCTTTGCTGCCCCCTCCTCACCTGCAGCCGACGCTCGGCAAGCACCAGCTGCCCCTCCAGCTGCCGCAGCTGTACTCCCAGATGCAGCAGCACGCCAGCGTCATCCAGGCTCACGGCAGGCCCATTGTCCATGCCACACAGGTACGCGGCTTAAATATCACATGCGGAATTTTGTAGCTGAAGGACTGTGGGAGGAATGAGGATGTGAACAAAGAGCAGGCAGTGGCTAACCGCTTGCGCCGCAGGTTATTGTCTCAATTCGCGAGCCCGTTGCGCTCTCCTCAGCTGTCGACACAGTCCTCCTCCTCCTCCTCTTGAGCTTTGACCCTCCATCATGGAGCCCATCACTGGGATGGAGTTCGAAGGTCATAAGGAGAAGGGGTGCGTTGATGGATGGGGAAATGAAATCAGGTTTAACTTAATTGGAATGTCACTTCTGACAGTATGCATTTTAGCAGAGTGCTTTTGGTTTTTTGGAAATACTTTTTGTAGGTCATTTCATTTAAAGGTTGGTGACATTCAAATATATGATAAACAAAGCATTTGTATGTTTTATCCATTAAAATGCTAATTTATGATATTTATTGCCATGGCAAAACTTTTTGTTTTATCAATGTTGCCCAATGTTGCCTTATTGAATATAATCCAATTGCTGCGGTTCATATCATCGTTATCGTTGAGCAGCTTGTAGTACTACTACTACTGCACAACAGACAGTCCTTGGCGCACAGTGTGTGTGCCACGGCGCTACTGGATCTGCAGCGTTTCTCGTTAAATTGGCCCCTTTCAGCAAACGCAAGCGCCCTCGATGAGCAAGCAACCCGGCGTCATCCAGGCCACGGGGCTCGCGAGTGCCAGGACTTCCCCGGGCACCGTCACAGCTCGACCAAAAGTTGTGGCAAGATCCCCAGCCCCATTGGGAGCCCTGGATCTGGCCAGCGACAAATCCAATAACTGCCTCTCCCCGCCCAGCAGCGTCACACAAGTGGAGGATGTTCTGCGACTGAAAAAGGTGAGGTGGCAGTGGCAATTTGCCTGATACTGCTCACTGCTGTGCCAGTGGCTCCATTGAGGTGCGGGACAAGCTAATCGCTCTGTGGGTGGTATAGAGATGTCTTAACGTTTTGGCTCTTGTCCCAGACAGAGCCCTACTGTGAGCTTTGTAGTTGCCCTTTTAAAGATGACTGTAGATGTCCTTTAAATCTTCTTAAAGATTTGTGTGGGTGGAAATATGTTTCTGGCAGAAACATTCTTTAGGACCAGGGATGACGGTGAGATGCAATGCTCTCGTGAATTGTCTGTTTTTCCTTGTGGCGGATGGGATTTTTTCCCCCGCAAAACAAATCGTTTCCCACAAATGGCTATGAATGGGGATATGAAGACACATATAAAGAGATGTCAAGGCCTGGTAAAATTAACACGATATTACTGTTACATATGAACCGAGTACGATTAGTCAATGTAGATTTCTAATGACACTACCGTGGTGCAATCGGTAGCGCACTGGACTTGCAATTCAGAGGTTGCTGGTTCGATCTCCTGGCGCGGCAGTTAAATCAATTGTGCAAGTTTCTAAAATCTCCTGCCGCTGTCAAGCCAGCAGTATAAATAGGTACACCACATATTCTTAGTTTTTTCGGTAAAGTCACGTTGAAGAGAAACAACAAAATAACAAAATATATATAACTCAAACGGTCATCATCAGGTGATGATGACCGTTTGAGTTATGGTCGAAACGTCGTGAGAATTTTTTATTGTTTTATATATATTTTGTTGTTTCTCTTCAACGTGACTTTACCGAAAAAACTAAGAATATGAATTACTGCAGTCACGAAAGCTTTAAATCAAAAGGTACACCACAGTTAGTCGATCGGCAGGTCTCAGGTGGTGGAGCAATGTGTGGGTACTCCCCACCTCTTCAGGCCAAATATAGTTCTAGTGGAGGTTCTTATGCCTATAGTGGCGTGAGTGAGTAATTGCAGAGCTGCACCTTTACATGTTTATACCTGTGACGTGTATGCAGCAGTAGGTTTGGAGTCACGCGGTCTCTCCTTTGTCAAACAGGAGCAGTTCCGGCAAGATTTTCCCGCAATGCTCAAGCGGCAGCAGGAAGAGCTGAAAGCAAACCGGAAGTCCACTGCCAGCATCTCCAGCAAGGCCTTTCCAGTTAGCACAGTCACCACCCACCAGAAAATGGCCCTGGCCTCCCCTCTCACTTCTCAAAATGTCGTTCTCCCTCTGACTGCGAACAGTAAGCAGCCGGTACCCTCGGCCAAGCAGAAGCTCAACTTCTCCTCTGTGCCCAATCAGAAGCTCATGGAACAAAAATCCAGGGCCATGACAACTGCAAGCTGCACCTTTGGGTCCGTGGAAAAGTTTCTGTCCCATGCAATGACAGCACAGCTGTCAAATGGCGTGATATCATCTGTCATACAGCAGTCGCCGCTCGCCCTTGTCAAGACCAAGGCCCTCGTGGCATCATCGGCGGCGCTGCCGCTGTCTCTGTCGTCCACGTCATCAGACTCTCTACCGCAAGATCTCACAACAACCACCAGAGCCCACATGGCAGCCATGGTCGCGGCGACGTCCCTGCCACCTGGCGGAAGCGGTAGCATCAGCAGCACCAAAACCCACACCACCTCCAGCAGGATTGTCCACCCTCCAACTTGTGGTTCTGCTAAATCAGATTTGTCCGCAATGACCTTTGCAGCCTTGAAATCTTCTGGGCTGCTGGGCCAGGTAGGGCCACTGTCATCACCCAGCCCCAGCACCAGCCTCTGCGCCGATGGCAAGGGGAAATTCACGATGGGCTTGTCAGCTACCCAGAGAAGTGGCCGTGCAAAGCAGCCGCATGGGACGGATAAAGGCAAGCATGGGACGATGGCGCAGACCCTGGTGGCGAAGTTTCGTGGTGTTGAGGCACTAAACCCAAGCAGCGATGACTCGGATGACTCTGATGATGATGATGACGATTTGGACAATGAGGATGAAGACGATGATGATGGGGAGGAGAGCCAGTCGGGTAAAAATGCAGTCACTCGTGCTTGTGTCCCACAGCACACAACACTGAAAATATACAATGCGTATGATTGTAATTGTATAATCTAGTTAATCAAGTGAAAGAGTTTACATTCTCAAATTATTTTACGGTGGTGCATATCTGTGTCAGAGGACCATTCTTATAAGGGGCCAGTCTTCTTGTGCAAAGAAACCCAACCTTTTCATATTTGTACAGAAGAATACTTTTCATTGTTGGCAAAGTGGCCAGGGTTTTCAACATATAAGGGTCAAGGAATGTTGCCGTGATATAGCGGTTAACGCACTCGCAATCCCGTCTGCTGGTTCAAGCTCTACTGCAGTGTTGTAGCGATGGCCAAGTTTATTAAATCCACCCGGCAATATAAATGGGTACACGCCAGTCAGTCGATCGGCAGGTCGCATGTGGTGGGGTGAAGTGTGGATACGTATAGACGTATGTAGAACTTTTTTCGCACCATACGTAGCCAACCATGAAAATCTAAGGCCAGCTTGGTAGTATATGCAAGCAAAATACCCTCTCGAGGGAGCTCTTTAGAGATATTTAGAGATCCCTCGAGTGGAGGCCCTTCCAGGGACGTAAGCAAGCAATTGGAGGGGCAGTGCCGTTACCTTCACTTTCTTACAGATTCCGACTTGGAGACGGACAGTGAAGGCAGCGACACGGAGGGCAAGGGTGCCATGGACGACACAGAGACAGACACCGAGGGAGAGAGGACCCCGCACAACCTTAGCCACTCCGCGTCTGGCCTCACGCCCACCACCTCTGCCGCGCTGCCGTCCTCCTCCTCGTCGGTGTTAGGAGCCACAGTGTCCTCCCCGCTGGCTGCCACGTCCCTGGGCTTCCACGGATACGCCGTTGTCGCCAGGACGCCGAGCTCAGCGTCTGCTGCTCTGCTGGCAGGACTATCGTCGCCCGGCACCCCGCACAACGCCTTCACCATGGTCACTCCCGAGAGTACGCTGCCTCATGGCCACAGAGGTCCCCTTGTTTGCGATACATAAACAGTGTTGATTGTACTACTGCGAAGGGTTTTCGCGGCTGTGCTGCGTGGCTGTTCGACGTTTTGCTGCACATGCTGGGAGCTTCTTCAGGAAATCAGTTGAATAAAATGATCAGAATCAGAATATTTATTAATACTGGAGGAATCCGATGAGCTATAATGCTATTTTTCGCAGATGGACAGTTTGGGGCGGGTCAGAACGTTAGAACAGCAAACAATTAAAAAACACGATAAATAAAGCTAAACTATTTTATTTTATGAGGCAAAGCCCACTTAGCTATTTGCTTCTTTGTCTGAATTGACCTGGCCACAAATGATAGCTCAATGAAGTGGCTCATCATGTGGTAATTTAGAGCTGCTAAATCTAAAGAATATAAATTAAATCCCTGAAGAAGCTCCCAGCTTGTAAAGCTAAACATCATGCCGAACAATGCTTGGTGCAACGTAATACATCGGAGAGGTGTTGAAAGTAATTTCTAAATGACTGTTTGATCCTCCTCCCCAGAAGCAGCATTTTGACTCCGTGAAAAAACAGTCTCGTTGAGGAGATGCTTTTATTTTGTCACCATCTTAGGCATGGCCAAGAGGAGGAGGACAGCAGATGAGAGGGAGCTGAGGGTCCCCTTGGACCATGGGTAAGTGAATCACAAATGTAATTATCCATCCTCTGAAATGCCGTGTTTGTATGCTGCAAGCGAAGGATGGTAAGAAAATAGCAAGTCATTAGTGGCCAGTGGTGCACGTAAAGCTTAATCGAAAAGCGCTGCGAAATGGCTTGGCTTCCCAGGTGGCGGAGAGAAACTCGCATCCAAACCATCGGGGACAGACTTCACGGAGAGGTCCTCTACTACACTCCTTGTGGGAGAAAACTGCGCCAGTACCCAGAGGTCAACAAGGTGAGTCATGGTGCAGTGATGTTGTTATGCTGTACAATGATGCAGCTCTGATTTGTTCTTGTATGGAGAATTAAAAAAATGTAGATTCCTTGAGGTGCCTTCAGCATAGATTTTTTTAATGGGGATTCTGCTTCCTTGAGCTGTGACCTTGGCCCTGTGTATCCCAACGTGTTTGCCAGTTCCTCACACGTAACAGGATCACAGACATCAACCGCCAGAGCTTCAGCTTCAGTGCCAAAATGCGAGTCGGGGATTTTTACGAAGCCAGGGAAGGCCCCCAGGTGAGCTTACTCACACCCTAATTCCCCTTCCATTGTCATTATATTTCTGGCTAAAAAGGACTTCAAGCACTTGGCGCCATTTCCTTTGTCAACAAGCGGGCTGTTTCATTCTCCGTGGCGCAGGGAATGCAGTGGTGCCTTCTGGGAGACGCGGAGATTGCGATGCGGATCAAGGCAATGGAGGGGCGGCGAGGGCGTCCGCCCAACCCTGAGAGGCAGCGGAGACGTGGGGAGCACAGCCAGGACTCGCCGCAGGGTGCAGGCCTGGGTCTGGCTCCAGGCCTCTCATCGGGCACAGGACGCCCGCGGCGACGCAAGGGGCGGCCGCCCAACGTGGAGCGAGCGGAGTACGCGCGCCGAGCCGAGTCCCTCAAGCTGCTCAAGCGACTGGAGGCCCAGGGTGAGCGCAGTGGCCTCGATGGCACAAGCCTCTGTTCCTACGTGCTGCTGGACAAGAGGTTATGGACAGGGCTTGGTGACATCACCCGCATCATGCTGGGCGTGGCTTGTCCAGAGATTCCTGCCCGCCGTAGGGAGGACGTTGGGGCAGCTGCCATTTTTAAATGGCCCCGAGTAATTGGCCACAAAAAGAATAATGCATGACCATTTTTGACTAAATTAACTAATCTTCCAGCTCCAATATGGTGCTTCGATTCCTACGTTCACAGTACATTGAATGTCGCATATGAGCCACTATTTGCGATTAATTTATGCCCTGCGTAGTCGATTCATGGGGTCCCCCTCAATCACTTGAGCAATTGTATTCACCAAATGTTTAAATTAAAACAATCGATTTGTGAATTGTATTATAACCACGAGTAGTGGCAACGCATCGAAACGAGATCGGGGTGAACCATACCGAGCGGAACAAAATGCTTAATTTCTCGTTGAGTCCTTAAATTGGGTAGCACAGTGGCACAGCACTGGATCCATACTCGGTAGGTTGTAGGTTCAGATTCTGGTTGGGGGTCAGCACAGTCCTTGGTCCCTTCAGGCTAGTTAACATCAGCAACTGTAGAATTACTTTGTGCGTCTAACTATGCACTCAAATGCCACAGAACATCATGCCCCTGCCAGCTCGAGCAAGTAAGTAGTTTCGTAAAATTTCATCATTGGTAGCGCTCAATTAATAAAGTCCTTCCCCCCCATGCGTCACCAGTCTCACGAAGCGACAACGTAGCTCCTGCACGCAAGCTGACATCATCTATCCATCATCTCCACAGTGGATGTCCTCATAGGTGTATTCTCTCCTTTGGCTGGTACTCTGTAACTGATGGTAACCATCGGCCATCATCCCTTCCAGCAATGTCCTGCCCTAGCCCAGTATTATTCACTGTCAAGAATTATTTATATAATTTAGATAGTTAGATGTCTCCAACCTGCATTTGTTCTCTGATTCGTGTGTTCTTTCCATCTTTCAGTTAAAGTCCAATGATGTTATAACAATAAACATAATTACACACACGAAAGGAACATATTATGTTCAACATGTAAGTAATTATCATGGTATAGTATAATTTAGTGATAGAAAATAGCATTTGGGAATGCTTAGAATTACACAAAGATTGAAAAAGGAACACATGGATAAGGCAACAAGCACAAGTTAAGAGACATCAGAGTGAGTGAAGAAAAGTTATCAGGCTTGGGGAGAACGCATCGCTCGAAGAGTTGGAGTAGCAGCCAGAAAAGGGGCACACGCTCAAGAGGCGATGGAGCGATGCAATCAGCTCATGTGAGGGAGCTAAATGGGCTGTTGCATCGCAGGATCGTGAAAATGGTGACAACTTGAGAATGCGACCTTCGTTCAGTAGAGGATAGATCATGACTGATGAGTAGTGTCTGGGCTGACGTTACATAGGGAAACACGGCCTCATTGGTGACTTTACAGCTTTGTGAGCTGTGTGCTTGGCTAATTCCTAAGTGGATGTGATTATCCAAGAGGAGAGAGAGAGGTGTCTGTGAGTGAGTAGTTATCTACACCAACTCGCATCGACCAGCAAGGTGAAGTACGGACACACTGTTCTCCCCCACCAATTTTCTTTTTTTCGTTTTGTAACCAAACACTTGGGAAAATGAACATGAGTATATTCCCTACACTGCAATCATCTTTGCAGCTATTGCGCGACAAGCGGCTGAGATGAAGCTGATGCAGAAGCTGGAGAAGCAGGCCAGGCTTCAGGCTGCCAAGCACGCTCGGCGGCAGCAGGGTGAGCATTTCCCCAAAAAAGCCCTCCCTGCCAATCGCCACCCCACAGCGCCATATCTTTCACTCAGGTTCTTGGTGAGCATGATGTCGCGCCATCACTTTAGCCAGTGGGAGGCTGAAAACAGCACGGAGCACGAGTTTCACCGTCTTGAGGCCATCGTTGCCTGCCCGGGCCGTTTCCAAACCTTGTTGCACTGAGGACTTATTTACAGCTGCCTTCACAATGTCACAGGCTAGGGTTTGCCATTGTAAAGGTCGTGGAGCACCATTATGTCTCTTTGGATCCCCTAAGCATGCCTGCGTCTATTGTATATGTAACTTACTGACCCGCCCATACTGGGCATCTGTGAAAAAGGGCTCCATAGGTCATCAGATTCCTCCAGTCTACAAAGATCCTGATTCTGATATATACTATGAAGAAGGGGCATTGCCCGAAACGTCGCTGATTATATATTTTTTCTTATAGGGCTACAGTGTTTTGGCGAATGTGGTTAATTTTTTAAAGGGTTCTCAGACCTCCAGTTTAAGTATTTGTTTAACCTGTACTTATATATGTATTGTTATAATATCTTAGTTTTTATGTTAGCCATATTTCATTTTGATATATTTTTTTAATGTAACCACACAAGGCCCAAATACTGCAGAAAATTCTCTGCTTAAAAATGTGTATTTTTGTTGAAAGAGTAACTTTTGCCAAATCCCTCTCTACCTGGAATCAAAACAACGTAGGATGAAAACACATGTGGTGTTGTGATACGGAATGTGAACTATGATTGTTATGAGTGGCGTCAAAGGGAAGGTTATGCGTGGCTGCGTATCCTTACAGAATAATTTTATATTTGTTGTTACTCCTTTGGTGGGGTTAGAAACGGTAGTTAATAAAGCTATTTTAATCCCGCTTCCTAATAGATGTCTGCAGTAGAGATCGACTATTTAATGGCTCAGCAGTTTTTTTACGAGTCAACGTGTTTCCTTTGGTATTAGGTAATGCACATTCCATTTACTGTTCTAAGATGCCTCTTCACATACTGATTTTAGAGAATTCATTTATGCTTTATCTACAAATTGTTGGAAGATTATGTGGAACCAAGAAAATTTTAAAATCGCAAACAAAACAGATACGCAGAATGAGGGAGGGCTCAATCTTCCTTCAACTTGCGCCAGTATCGACTGTAGTGATCACTGACATCATAATGGACTTGGCATTACCTTTTTGAAATCAAATGTGCTGGTTACTACAGCGTGCCAGTGGTTTTTGTTTGATCTATATTCTCAGAAGATCGTTGTTTGGGTAGGCACGCGGCAAGCTCCTAATATGGCTTTAATTTTTCCCCAAACAGCCATGCAAGCAGCAGAAGTGAAGAGAAAGCAGAAGGAGCAGATGAAAATGCTTAAGCAGCAGGTACACGCGAGACAGCTGGCCACATATTTGTTTGAAACGTCTCCAGAATCTCTGCTTGTACTCCTTTGGCTGAATTCTTTTTGTAACCTTCATAAGTCAAAGCAAAATAGCTCGATTTTTGTGATAGAAAACAGTTTGCCGGCATTTAATCACGTAAGATGAAAAAAAGCCATTCGCTTACATGTTTTTTAAACCTGTCAATTAAAAAGTGACATGTTAGGTCTAGATACTAAAACTTTGGCCGCTTATCGAAAAAAATATTGCGTTCTGCTATTTATCTGTGAAATAAAGCCTTATAAATGCTCAAATAACCTTTTAAACATAACACCTCATGGATCTGCCTGAATTTTGTTTACCTCCGATATAGATGTGGCTGTTTGGTTTTAATACACTTTCGCCCGATACACAAACGCTCTGATCTGTGATAAAGTGATGTGTTTTTTTTCTGTTTGACTGCACAATCTTGGCAAAAAGTGTTGCTGAGAGATAATGCTGCTGAATAAGCATGTTTTCCTTGTTTGCTTTCAGGAGAAGATGCAGAAAATTGAGCAGCAGCGGCTGGAGAAGGAGATGCGTGCGCAGCAGATTTTGGAGGTGATCAGATATAATTCCTATCCTCTCTGCCTGTAGCTCCATAACACGGGTTTGAGACGTCGTTTAGATACAGAAGCAAGTATTGTTACTTAACAAAACTTGTAGTTTGAAAGTGGTAGAAGTTTCACACAATGCATTCTTCACTCCCTCCTGCATTTCCTCTTTAGTCATGTGTTTATGTTCGTGCATGGCAAGTTGTAGCGTGACGGTTAGGTCACTGCACTATGAACCCAGATACCCGAGTTTGAGTGCAGACTTTAGCTACATAAGTGACGAATATCTGAACTAGTACTGGGCCTTCCCAAGGTTGACTCAGCCTTAAATAAGTACGGGTGCATTGTGTCAACGTATGCACTGGGCAAACAAAGGTGGCTGGGCATGATTCTGGCCTCTCCACTCCCTCGTGTGCCTCGCCGGCCTTCATAGGTGCTCACGAACAGCAATTTTCGCAACAGTCTGGACAGCTATGTTGAGGAATCTACATGTTTGTGTATATACAAACATATGGGTACAGGTCATATGTCTTCCAGTGAGCAGTGTGTTGCTCCGTGTTCTTGCACATGTAGGCCAAGCGTCGCCGGAGGGAGGAGGCAGCCAATGCCAAAGTGATGGAGGCAGAGCGGCGAGCCCAGGTAAGGGCTTGTGCTGTCCCATTGTGTGTGACACCCCCATGGGCTCCGTTACCAACTCGCCACAATTATTTCCTTGACCACTTGATTGCAATGTAGGGCCAACTGGCTTATGATGATTAATACAAGGGTGATTTAAAAATATATATGTAATTTTATTAAGTTGTGATTTTTTTTATTTTCATTTAAGTCATTTTTGGGGGGTATGGTTTTACTTTTCTAAACCGTATTAGTAGCAGGTATCACGGACGGCACATTTGCATTCAAGGGCAACGTGGTTTGCCAGTGACGGGAAAAATAGATTACCTTTTAATGTCCCATCAAAAATATATACACGATTGTCATGCTTTATATTGTAAAACGGTCTGTACATTGGTTTGTGCCATCACTGCTGTTAAGTATTCATGGATTAAAATTACGTTTAAAAGCAAAAATGGGTATTGCACAATATTTTAAAATAATGTCTAGTTACTGTGAAAGGATTATGAGTCAAAGTCCTTCCCTGCTCAAGCATCAAAGCAGTCAGTGCTCATCTTCTGTTTATAGCCCAGAGCAAGTGATGGAAATTCAACAGTCATATGACAGGGGAGAGTGTATCCATACCACGAACCACTGTTGACTTTCCCAGAGTATATCAACCCTCGAGGGATGATGGGCTCAGTGGACTCCTAACCAGGATTTGAAAATTGCACCCTTCCAATTGAAAACTACTTGCACTACGGCCGAGCCACCTTTGTGGGTGGTGAAAGGATTACTGTTTTGTAGGGAATAAGTATTATAATTTAGATCGTGGTGAATGTGTAGATTTTCAAGGAGGAAATTCTGCTTGGCACATTCATAAAATAACCTGCTTACAGACCACATTCCAATTACAACGTCCATCATCAGTAATACCTGAGTTTTGTGGGAGGTCGTTTTAAAATGAAAATTCCCCCCTCTAAAAAAATATCTGATGAATGTCAGTGATAAGGTTGATATCATTGTAAACATTGAATGAATTGTGGTAAGTGTGTAAAAAACAAATCTCATGAAATTTTATTTGGAATTTTGAGAGCCAAATCTGTAGCCTTGAATATAATATACGTGCAGTCACTGCACCGTGTATGTTACAGACACAATACTCTCACCAGGAGGCATTTTGACCTATGATGTGAGTTAAATTCTCCGAGTGACTCATTGTGCTGATGTTCTCTCCCTCTCTCGTAATGAAAGGAGAAGGAAATGAGAAGGCAACATGCCGTGCTGCTGAAACACCAGGTCAGCTACTCCTCTATAAATCATTGTGTATCTAAATCTTTTGTTTCTTCTCGCTTTTGTCTACTTTGTGTGTTCCCTGTTTTTTTTTTCAGTGTAACCAATCCTAATACGATGCATCTTTCCTAATATTTATGCATATTGTTGTATTTGTCATGTTCCGTTGCAATGAAGATCTGGTTGTGGTGACCTTTCTAGGGTTTTGTGTTAAAATTATCTTGGTTGCGGGACAAAGTCTTAATGTCTTTGTTGGTCTTGAATTTTAACAAAATCTACGTAAATATTCACATGTACTCGAGGCATCGAAGCCTAATGGCAGACTTTGGCATCTGTGGACAAAGCTATTGTGATGTCTCGCAACATGACGGCGTGGCCTATTAAACAGTATGCGTGCTCCTGGCAAGGAGATATCTGCCACCGGTCGTAGGAACTGCTGCTTTTGCCAACCCACAGAGGGCCCCACACTGTATGTGACAATCGCACGCCAAAATACGTGGCAATGCTGATTAGTGGCTACTGGCTAGATGTTAAAATGAATAAGCAAGCAATTGAATGTTTAGAATTAAATTAAGTGCGCAGGTTATTCCGTACAAAAGTGTCACTAGATGGAACTGACTCGAGTACCTGTGGGCTTTTATCATTGTGTTTTTCCTGTGATTTCTCTTTGATAATGCTCTGCCAACCTCTCTCTACTAGGAGATGGAGAGGCATAGGCTAGATATGGTATGGGTCTTCCCTTTTTTTGGTCGTCTCTATTTTATTTCAGTTTTTAACTCCCATCTGAGCGACGCAGCATTGTGTGATTGGCTGTGGCGTTGTGGCCATGGTAACCCGTGCTGTGTGGCGCTGGCTGGCTGCCTGCCTGCTCTCTCTCACGCTGCCCGATTAAATCCGATAAATGCATGGCTTGACGACGCCACACGGTCCATCGCTTACACCCGCCACTCTGCCAGCCCCAGGGCCGGCCGCCCACATCTGCGCGTGCGCGCATTTGTGTGCGCGTGCGTGTGTGTGTGTGCGCGTGCGTACACACGCTCGCGTGCACACGTGTCCGCGTTCCTTGTGTCAAATTGCATAAATATTATTTGATTTTTGTTTTCTTACATTATCACGCTTTTCAATCAGTAACTGTTCATTTGACCAAGTATTTTCAATGACACTGGAATGTCTTGATAATCAAGAATATTATTAAGAACTAGATTACAAAATTGCATTGTGAGTGTATATTGAAACATCCAGCAATGATGCATTGCACTGTGGTTGTTACATTTGGCAGTGTTTTGGAGTTGGAGTTGTTGTGGTGAAGTGACTCCATGAAAGCCCAGCCTAAATTAAGCTTTAAAACTACAATCAGGGTGTAATGTCCCTTCACAGCTTTACTGTATTATTAAGTCATCACTCTTTGCATTTGGCCAAGTGAGACTCCATAAATGGCTGCTTTTACTCCGCACACGCTTCCTGGCCATAGCTCCAAACCCCAAACACCTCCGGCATTCCTCAACGTACAGTACTCCGCTTTGTTTTACTGTCTCTCCGGCCCTGCCATGTCACTTGTTTTCATGTTTGTCCGCTCGCCTTTGTTTACAATTAACCAAAGGAATGCTGCCATTGCACAACCATCTTCTCAGTACGTTTTTTATATAAAACCGCTCACACTTTGTGATAATAATTAAAGTAATAATTAAAATTATACACGGCATTCACTATAACGTGAAGGCTACATGCAGCCACTCGGGCGTTTGCAATATTTTCTCGTCGCTCATTTCCCTGGCCCATGTGAACGTAAGGCTGCTGTATCTGCCACAGGAGAGGGAACGAAGGAGGCAGGAGCTGCTGTTGTTCAAGGCTCTTGAGGCTCAAAAGAAGGCTGAGGTGGGGACCCACAATATGTCTCTACACAGAGAACGCTTTGCTGCTTTGCCAAATGAGACAAAAATACAGCATAAGTAAACAGTGCCTGTTGTCCTATTATCCCATATGGTGCGTGTGTTTAACGATAACATTTTTTGTATACATTCAATTAGCTTTGCAAAATGAAAGCCCAAATACAAACGCAAAGCCAAAGTTTGGCTTTAATACACAGGAGTTACGAATGCCATATTACTTCTGTAGCAAGCACCTTTTTAAAAAAATTACTAACAGCAAGTGGATTTTTTAAATAATATTGTCAGTAGCATTGTAAGTGCAGCAAAAACAGATGCAGCTCAACCGTTTCTTTCATGCAAAAAAAAGACAATGCCTCCTATTGAGGACGGCTCGCACTTGTGGGCAAATTCTGTCCGTCGGCTGCGGCCGTCCGGCGTACGCCTCGCTGAGCATGCCTGTCCACTGTGACTGCAGGAGAGGGAGCGCCTGAAGCAGGAGAAGGTGCAGGAGAAGCAACTCAACAAGGAGCGCAAGATGGAGATGAGGCGGCTGGAGATGCAAATCGCCATGGAGCTCAAGAAGCCCAATGAGGACATGTGCCTCTCGGAGCACAAGGTGGGCGGCAACTAACGATGATGGTCAAAAGGGTGAAGAAGTCCTTCCGGGATGACCACCGAGAGGGTGAAGCCCTCCCAGGATGACTACCGAGAGGGTGAAGCCCTCCCAGGATGACTACCGAGAGGGTGAAGCCCTCCCAGGATGACCACCGAGAGGGTGAAGCCCTCCCGAGATGACCATGGCCACCGATCGAAGCAGCTGTCTACTTGGCTATGAGAGGAGTCATGTATCCAACTCCCTTGAAGTGTAAATTCAAAGAAATGAACCTCACAAAAAATAATCGCTTAATAGACGTTCTAAAGTATTCAAAATGTCACGAGACAGTTTACCGCATGCAGCATTAAAGATCCTTGGTGCATACCTCGAATCCCTCATAAATCTGCATGAGAGATTTTACCCTCGTCTCTTTGACAAATGTTGTTGAAGGCAACATCTATGTTGGCAATACTTTGAGAGGAGTACTGGAGACACCTGCCTGTGGCTGTAAATACTGCACCTTGGCCACCTGGCTTAGTTATTCCTGAACAACAAAAAGTTCTCAGAAAATGCAATCTCTCTGTGTAATTAGTTATGAACAAACTAAAAGAGTGTTATATTGCATTTACATATTTCTTACGTTTGACCTAGATCTTAAGAAAATATGCTTATTAGGCTCTCACTTATTTACAAAGAAAGCATATTAAGGAAAACATGAATTATAAGTTATTTATATAAATGTATGGGACAACCCTTTGGTATTTTGTAATATTTGGTCATGTAATTGAATGTCGATTACCAAAAGGGTCCTGCTCGGATAATAATCATCCACTATCCTTTTCCTGAAATCTGAATTTATTTTTTACAAAGGTCGTCATTTCCCTCAAACATCGCCTCTTCATCTTCATCCTCCTTTTCCTGCACTCTTCATCTTCTTTATCTTACTCTGTGATGCAGCCCATGCCGGATCTTCCTCGGATGCCGGGCCTCGTGTTGCCTGGCTCGGCATTCGCCGACTGCCTCATGGTTGTGGAGTTCCTGCGCAGCTTCGGCAAGGTGCTGGGCCTAGACGTGGTGCGCGAGGTGCCGAGCATCGCCGCACTGCAGGAGGGCCTCCTGAACCGTGGCGACACGGCCACGAGCGAGCTGCTTGACCTCACGATGCGCCTCCTGCGTGCCGTGCTGCGTGACCCGGGGCTGCCCCATGCCTTCAAGGTGAGTTCACCCCGTGCAGATTATTCCGCTTTCTTGCACGCATTTGCCACAGAAGGCCGGGGATTACTTTGCCAAGACCTGCATTACAGCACCCTCTGGACTTCCTATGTCCAAGGTGCCTCCCACAACTGAAGCTTTTTTCGATGTTTCCTTGCGTGCTGTGGATTTGGTGGGCCCATGGAGTTGATCTGGTTCTTAGCGGCGTCTTTATCCTACTAACATGTGCTGGTTTTATCCTTTATTGACTGACACCATCAGGAAGCTAATCGGCATTTTTTGTCAGGCAGTTGGCCGGGTGGCACTGTGGCAGAGTGCTCGTCTCACAAACGGATGGTTCAAAATTTCAATCCTGGGTAGAGTTGACTTAGCCCATCGTTTATCTGGGGTTTATAACACAAGTACAATTTTAAAGTCAACAATATTTGTTCACTTTAACGACTCTCCTATTCCGTAGAAATGTGGAATTTTAATCAATGGTTTAGGACTATCAATAAAAAAAAATACCCATCGCATGCTCATTTCTAGCACAGCGACACTGATTTCTCTAATGACAGAAACATTGTAACACAGCCGACACATTTGCGTTTACTGACAAGCCATCAATGATGCACTAAAATGGACATGGTGGTTGGTGTGGTGGTTGTGGCAGGACGCAACGGTGTTGGGCTGCCGCCTGCGTGACATGGAACTAACGCGGGAGACCTTGTCTGAGGTTCTGCGGATTTTCCTGGAGGCGCGAAGCTTCTCGGCAGCGTTGGTGTCCAGCTTCCGCACCAAGGCGTTCCTGGCGCACACGCCGAGCCAGAAGGCATCCGTGCTAGCCTTCCTGTGCGACGAGCTGCTATGCAGCCGCACCGTCACCTCGTGAGTGTAGACTCTTCAAGCCAGTACCGCTGCGCTGCAGTTAGAGCAATAACAAAACATTCTGACGGTTCTCAATTTATTCAGGAAAGCCCTAGCATTCTGAAGCCTTTTTCACGTATTGAGATGATTGACTAATAATTAATTTAAGGAGTATTTTGTGTGTGTGGCTGAGAAATACCAGAGAAATCCCACGGATGCAATGGAAGAACACAAACATGATTATGCAAAGCTAGGTCGACAAATATCGTGCTATGTATAGCATTATATGGCCATCTTGCAGTCTTGCAAGGTGGATATCTCATCCACAAGTTAATATATGCCCTATCTTTAATCCAATTAAAAAATGCTATATTACAGAGAAGAAAACCTTCATACACTAAATCAACTTTTGTAAAATAGTTTTACATGTAATTATTTGTGTCATGTGAATTGCTTGCGAACGACGACACGTCTCTGCTGCCTGGCGGCTGCACAGAATGCAATGAATGTACTGACTGTATTGCTTTGTGGTTTTTCCCTTTTCAGAGAAATTGACAAAAACATCGATCACATCTCCAGCTTGAGGAGGGACAAGTGGATTGTCGAAGGCAAGCTGCGAACGTGAGTCATTGATCTTAAAACTCTTTGCTTGCCGTGTTATTTCCAGTGCAACAAAGAACATGTCACCATACTGCATTCATTATTGATGCGATTACTGTATTTCAAGGTTGTTTCTGTCATTATTGGATGACCTTTTTTTGTTTCTTAGAGTACTGGTGTATTGGTTCAACTGTGATTTATATGTGTTGCAATGTCTTCATTAAAATTGTCATTCAATCGGCAAGGTGTAAATCAACATCTGCTGTAATAGTCAATACCTATTGTACGTATGTGTATATATGCATGGTTTCTATATATATAACCAGGAAAGCCTCAGTCTTCTTTGAAGATATTCACTCCTATTTTGGGTAGCATGGCCAATTCCTTTCACAATATTTGTGAATGAGGAGGGTCCAGATAAATCCCAAACGCTGCTTTACTCAATAGCCTGCTCATGGTGGTAGTACAGCAGTGGATTCTTGAATCCATCTGTGTAGATCTTTGCTATGATCTCTTCGCCAAATACTCATAACAAAAACACATTCATCAATAACACTGCCATAAACTCAACACATTGTTCCTGAATGTGTTGAGTTTTTTGTTAATTGCATAAAGTGCATTATGATGATCATCAGAATGACGGCTGGCAGTAAATAAATCAAAGCTGGTGCACACTCTGCCCCAGGCTCCGGAGCAAACACTCGCGCCGAGGTGGCCGGCGCTACAGCTGCGTCGCCAATGTGGAGGAGGGTGAGGAGCGTCAGGGCTCCGGAGCTGGCGCTGCCGCCACTGGGCGCAAGCGCAAGCGGAGGTCGGGGACGCCGTCCGGGGGAGTGGCCGGAGAGAGCGATGATGAAGACGATGAGGACGATGACGACAGCGACCCAGAGCAGGACGAGGAGGATGAGGAGGACCGTGAGGAGCGGGAGGAGCGTGGCAAGCGGCGGCGCAACGAGCACGCCACGGACGAGGTGCCGTCAGCAGGCTTGTGTGGCATGAGAGCATGTGGCAAATGTGTGCACACGCAGCCAATAGGCGCCGTGTAGCCTTTTAGGGCAAATGCTGTTACCAAGCACCCATTAAGGCTGTCATGGCACACAAGGGGGTGGGGTGTGGCCAGCACCATGCCTGGTTTGCTTTTTCGGACCAGGACTTACACATTGCACCAAGGGGCTCATATAATGCCGAGTCGGCCTAGAGGAGGCCCATGATTGATCAGATAATTGTCACTTGTTGGTCGTGGCTGGGAATCGAACTTAGTTCGCGAGGCTCATAGTCATGCGCTCACCATTACGCCACCACTCCCCCCAAAATACAGTGCATCTAAATCTGAAAATAAAAACTATATGTAATACGTGAATTGCAATTTTTAACAGGTTTTGTTGTTTCTATTACTCAAAAGAAAACTCTTGATAGTTTGGCTGACAGTACTTCATAAAACATTGGATTTGTCTTAAATATACTGTAGAGAGTAGGTGGAGTTAGATGATGGACCCACTTAGGTGCAATGAGTTGTCAATTAAGTTTTTTTAATGCATCCTAGAGGTTAACATGCGAATTGTCTCAGTGAAGTGTCATGATTTTTTGAGCGTATGAAAGGCACCATTAAAATAAAACATTTCTGGCAGGAGTCATGTTAGCTTTTATTTTAAATCCTTCAGTTAAGAAGGTTATGAGTTCTAATCTAACTCGCTGATTATTTCAGCCCATCCTTCCTCTGGAGTTGATAAAATGTGCACCATTTTGTGGTAATTCAAAATCGACTGAATTATAGTCATTTGAGCGAAAATTATAATGGCGCCAGACATTCCCACCAAATGCAACGAGATTAGCCCAGCTTTTGTTTGAGGGTGTGGATGCAACCGAGTGTTGAGAATTTAGAGACGGTCCTGCTTGTTGGAATGTGCAGGAAAAAAAAGTACTTGTACAAATGCACAAGTATGAGGCATTGATACAAAACATTCTACATGAGTGGGTCAGAAACCTAATGCTGCAGTGCTTATTAAAAATCACGTCAGCCATGCAGGTGGGCATCATCAACCCCACCTGCAGTACAGTTTATGCACCACCATACCCAGACTTGCATGTAAAACGGCCACAGTGAACACGCGCGTGATAGGGTTAACGTTCTACACGAGATGCAGTTGAAACGTGCATATTTATGGTGAATTAAGAGAGCTTACTGCTTGATGTCGCGACGGTAAATTTATCATCGTTCCAGGAAGAAAAAGAGATGGCGGCCAGCTCAAATGAGTTCCAGAAACAGATGGAGAAGTTGAATAAGGTAATCTTTTGAATGGATCTCACTTATATTCAGCTTATTTTTCTTCAAAGCAAATCTGCATTTTTAAGAATGTTTTTAATTGTAGAAAAAGGTTCACCATTTGCATTGAAATCACCAAAACTATAAACTGAGCACTGTGCCTATCATCTTCCGTTTCCTCAACCAAGCTGCTTCCCTGTGCCTCCCACAGCAACAGAACCTGTACCGGCGCAAGCTCTTCGAGGCGTCGCACAGCCTGCGCGCGCTCACCTTCGGCCAGGACCGGTACAGGCGCCGATATTGGGTGCTGCCGCACTGTGGGGGGCTTTTTGTGGAGGCCATGGAGAGCGCCGAGGGTAAGACACACCTGCTTACCTGCTTACTGTCACCTTCCTTCCCTTTGTTTGCAGTGTAATCGTTTCAGAACACCCCCCCCCCCTCCCCCCCAAAAGCAGTTTTAAGTGCCTGGTTGTATTGATTGATGCTGTAGATGCGAGGTGTTTTGAGGGCACGAGCAGAGATGTGTCAAGTGGCTTGGATTTACGACGTCCTGTGACAGGCCCGGAGGAGATGAGGAAGGAGGAGGAGAGGGAGCTTGCTGAGAAGGAGAGGGGCGAGGAGCCTCAGATGAAGGAAGAATTTCAATATTCATCCACCAGTGAAGAGAGCCAAGAGCCTCCCAAATCACCTGCGGAAGATGTGCAGGTGGAAAATGAAACGACAGGCATGAGTGAGGATGCTGAGGAGGAGCATGCTGAGGAGCAGAAAGAAGCGAAGGAGGAGCAGGAGAGGATTTGCCCTCCACCAACGAACTCTTTTTCCGTTGTCTCGTTGGTATCAACCCACAAGCCAATGGTGATTGTGGACAGCAGGCCGGCAGAGCAGCAGGAAGAGTGGAAGCTGCATGGGGGCAGTGGTGGGGGTGGCAGCGGAAACCTCTTCCTGCAGAAACCGGGCTCCTTGTCCAAGTTCAGCGAGCTCCTTGAAGTGGCCAAGATGGCGCCCGAGATGGACACAGTCTCCAGTGGTCAGGCGTCTGCAAATGGCGTCAACTTGGCCGATTCCTCCTCCTCATCTTCGGCCAACAATAGCCCTGCCCACAGCAGGCTGAGCTCTCCGACGCCATCCACAACCACCTCGCAGCAGGGCCTCAAGATGGAGCCCATGCTCAGCTTCTCCGACTTTAGCACGGGAGTCCTGTTTTCGGCCGATCAGCTGCTCAAAGAGCTCTCCGAGAAAGCCAAGGCCGGGGGGCGCTTTTACAGCTCAGGCAGAGGCGCGTCCGGCAGTGAGGAGACGTCGGCCACCGAGGGTGCATCTCGGTCATCGCCGGTGACGACGCAGAGCGGTCAGATGTTGAGCATGGCCTCGTTGCACAGTGGCCTGGCTCTCAACCCCTTTCAGCTGCCGGCCTCCTCCACGTTGGCAGCCTTGCAAGTGAGTACTATATGCCTAGGGCTTGCATAAGAGGATTCCGATGCGTGTAAGAATATGTTTTAATTTGATAAGCCACATGATTGTTAAGAATTTATTTTATTCTTAAACGAGAAGAATCTCTTGCACCACTTTTGTTTCGGGAAAGTGCACCAAGCAACAATACTATTCTATACCATTGATTACATGCATCAAAATCATGCGTCTGACAATCGCTTACTTTTAATGCATATGTTGGATGTAATTGGTTACATACATGATGACCCCTGCAGCCACAAGGTGTTGCATTCACAAAAATGGTTGAAAAAATCACATTGCTTCTTGTATTGAGTCGTGACCGCAAATAATTTCATGCCAAATACCCAGTAAAGCACACTAAATGTGGTGGGTTTATTACAAGGGTCATTAGAAGCTACGAGATCATTTACGTGGCGTGTGCCCCTTGACAGCTCAAGTCCGGGCTGCCCCTGCTGGGCCTGCCCCTGAGTGGGTGGCCTCCAACAAGCCTTCTGGGTGCCAGCCTGCCCTTCCCCAGCTCCCTGTTGGGCCTGGGCTTCAGCTTGCCGCCCAGCTCGACCGCTCAGCCCGTGCTGCTGAACCCCGGTCTGACGCTGGCCGAGAGCCAGGCGAGGTCGGGCAGCCACGGTCTCCAGGCGGGCCAGGGCGGCTCGAGCTCGGCCCCCAGCGCGGAGGACAGCGCCCAGGCCGGCACCTCCACGACGCCGCAGCCGGAGGTGCAGAAGCAGAACGATTACTCCACGCCAAAGCCTATACCCCAAGGTACTCGCGACACACGGCTCGATCAGAATGCCACAAAGCTTTCTCCAATCGTTTGCCTTCAGCACAAGACACTGCAAAAGAGGGACATTACTGTACACGTAGATTTTTTTTCTTCCCAATCTACTGCTGGGTGAGGATCTCCCCAAGCCGTTTTGGTCGTGGGGGGTTGTTGGTCCAAACATTGCCACACTGGTCATTGTGCGGGTTAGCGGATAGGAGCATAGACTTGGGAGCACAGAAGTACAGTTCATCAATAGAATTAGCTGCATTGTTCTCTGCTGCTGAACACATGAAGGACATTAATGTAATAATCTAGATTAAAAAAAAATATAGGGGTGCAGTGATGCATTGGTTTATGAATATCGATTCTTAAGCTCACAATACACACATCAAATCAAGTGTGCAAGAATCAATGTTTTTCAATTTCTGTTGAAATAGGTTTATTCTCCCCTTGCAACCACTAGTGGCCGCTACATTTACAATTTACAAAAAAATATCCATTGTTGAATGCAATCATTATATTTAATCGTGACAATTCAATCGTGACAATCATCTGAAAAGTGAATTGTTATACTTCAATTTTAAATGTGTTGTACTTCATGAAACCCTATCCCCCTATGTGTAATGGGTATTTTTACTTTCACTGCTAAAGCTGAATATGTAAAAAAATGCGTTTGACTGCTGACGTTTTGTTTTAATTGGATAGGTAGAGTAAAACTAAAAGTGGTCAAGGTTTTCTGTCAATTAATATAAAGGAATATTTTGACAGTTTGGCCAACTGGCTTTCTTGAGAATTTTGACAATGTTCAGAGTATTCCTTAACGTCAAATATCAATATCTTTCTTTCATTCTTGATTTGAATCTTGATTTGAAGCTTTGGTGACTTTCTTTCATGCGAATGACAGAATATTCTTGTTTAATAGTTAAACAACGGATTATTTACTGTGTAAGGACACTTTTTACCAGTAATAGGTTTGCATTGCAAAAACGTGGCCGCCTGGAATCACATTTTAAAGGGTCAAACGTGAAGCACGTTGATGTGATCACGTCTGTACAGATCTGCGGCATGGCTGGTGGCGCGTAACCGACACGGATACCATCCACTCCGTGCTGAAGGCGCTGCACCCTCGAGGCATCCGGGAGAAAGCGCTTCAGAAGCAGCTGCAGAAGCACCTCGACTACACCTGCCAGGCCTGCGCTAGACACCGGGACAGTGCGTGCAGCTGAGATGTCCACACCTTGTTTATAGCTGTAGCCAGAATATATATCAACTGCCTTGTTTTTGGCTGGTGCTGAACCCATTGGCATGCCAGACCTTGTCGGAAAAATGTATGCTGTATAAGCTAATATTTCAATAGATAAAAATGCATTGCAAGACATTGGTTTTGCTTTAATATGTGTATTGCCAACTCGCATGTGTGCGTATGCAGTGTTACCAGTGGCAAAAGGGGACAAGGGGGAGAAGGCAGAGTGTGTGTTGCGTCGGGAGGTGGCCAGCTGGTCAGTGGAAGAGCAGGCATTCCAGGTCGACCTGGCGGTGTTGCGGCTGGTGGAGGAACTGGAGGAGAGAGTGGCTTCTGCGAGCATGCAGGTCAAGGTTGGTAGCTATCATATTGGCATTTTCCTGGAACAAATGACAATTTTATCATATTTACACTCAAAGCTTTGTCTTTTGTTGTCTCCTTGCTCGTCGCTGCCTCCCAGGGCTGGCGCTGCCCGGAAAGAGCATCAGAGAGGAAGAACCTCGTTTATCACAACCGTGAGCCTTTGCCCTTGGCCTGGTGCAGCAGCGAGTCGAGGGGCAAGGGGGGCAAGGCTACGAAAAGCCAAGGAGAGAAGGCTAAGCGGGACCCCGGGGTCAGGCTGAAGGTCGAAGACATGGAAGACGGGGACGAGGTCAGAAGCGACGGGCCGCCGGTTGACATCAAAGTTATCGACGCTTATGAGAGCAAAAGCTGCCCTACGGGGGACATCATTGATTGTGAAGCCATGGAGATGAAAAGCATCATTAGGGGCGAGGCAGGAAGCGAGAAGGAAGAAAGCAAAAGTGGCACCGCAGTGGCCGAAGGGAAGCATGAAAAACTTGAGCGAAAGGGCAGCTCATCGTGCGAAGCGGCGGCGTCGCGAGCGGTCGAGGAAGTGGAAAGGTGCCCAATCCGCCGTTCGGACGATAATCCCCTGGACCTGGCCACTGTGCGTCTTGCTGCTCTGGAGCGCAACATCGAGCGGAGATACCTGCGCAGCCCACTCAGCACCACCATCCAGATCCAGCTAGACAATGTGGGAACTGTCACCGTCCCGGCACCAGCTCCATGTGAAAGCACCCAGTGGGATGGGTAGGTCGACCAAGTAGAGGCCAGTTCCGATACACTTCATGTATTTGTAAAGATATAAATGGTCAATACGAAAAATTGTAAACTTTTAAGGATTATCTGTTGCATCCGTGTTGGTTAAACTAAAAAGCTGATAAGTAGAATTTGGCTAGGCAGTCTCGCTGTTGCACTTTATTGCTTCATTTAACACATTTCACTTAATGCTGTGTAAAAAAATGAAATGTGCTTATATTTAAGCACAGTTTTTTTCCTGATGTTTTTTTTTTAAGTCTTTATTCTTCTTGACGTGTAAAGGTCGTGCACATGCATGTGTGTGCGACAGGGGGGAGGAGGAGATTGCCCCTGGCCTGCGGGATTGGAGAAGGGCCCTGCTGTGTGCTCAGAACGCCTCGCAGGTGGCGCTGTGCCTGCAGCAGCTGGAGAAGGCCATCGCCTGGGAGAAATCCATCATGAAAGTGGTCAGTCCTCTTGGGGAGTCTTCCATAAAACACTCCCTTTTTTCTGGCCATAGGAAAATAAAAATTACTACACAACGTAATGCAGCTCAACAGCATCGCAAATGCAACTTGAGTGGAATTCCTGTGCAGAAAAATGTTATCGCGGCGCTCCTTGATACTATTTTTCATTATAGTAATTTTGCAATTTTGTGTTCATGTGGTGGTGGTGGTGGTGGCGCATTGCTCTTGACAGTCCTTATTCTGTGCATGAAAATAATAGCTTGATTTTCGTAATTTTGCCCGTAGGGGGCAATAATATTGCAGATATTTCTCTGTATCCCCATCTCCTCCACAACCAAAAGCCCCATCTGCAAAATGTTGATGTCAAAACTAACTGCCCTCTATACGTTTTTTTTTTAAATACCCACAGTTAAAAGGATAAGGCGGCACTTATGCATAAAGTAAATAATTAAGTGTGCTCACCAATGTCCGTGTCCAGTTAATTGATAATTAATTAAATGAAGTGCAAACCCCCCCCCCCTACCAGGCACAGTGCCCGTGGCATTTTCAGTGGGCCCTTAAAAGCTCCCTTGTGCTTGAAGTATTAAGGCAACCGTGGTTGTTATGGTAATTCTGACTGCCATAAACTATAATTACAGTTTTACTGCAGTAGTCAATTACTATAGAAGCTGTCATAAGTGAGCTGATCATAATCATCATTAGCCATGATCTATCCACGACTGGATGAATGCCTCCCCAGGCTGCAAACATCCCTCATGGTCCCTCGATGCCACAATCCTTCTTGTTCCTGCACGAGCTGCTGATCTCATCGCTTTATCTCCATGGTTGTACTATTGGGTGTGTTGCCCCCGTTGGCTACCAATTCATTACCAGCCTTGTCCATCAGAGATCATCCTTTCCAGCGGTGTCCCTGGCCCTAGTCCACTTACTTTGCTTAGCTCATTATTACTTGTCTCATTTGCATTTGGTCTCTGATCCATGTATTTTTGTTCTATTAATTAGTGTAATTCTAAGAATATATCTCTCCAGGCTTCTTTTGTTCCATCATTTTGCCATTGTCCTTTACAAGTTTAGATTCCAAAAATCACTCAAACCTGCTCTCGTTCACCTATTTACGCAGTTTGTTGTTTTCCAGTTGTGCTCTTCCAACACATTTTATTTTACATGTCGGTTTTTTGGGTTATATCGTGTAAATGTGTCGTTAAACCCGCCACCACCCGACGCAGCCAATTAGTAAGGTTTGTCACGTAAACAAAACATGACAATTTGTTACTAGTACAGCACACCGGTGTGTTGGAGAGCAAATCCATAACATTTACAATCTTGAGTATGACGTTTCGCCAGTCATTACAACTAGCATCATATGGCGGACAGCCAAATTTGGCTGTCCACCGGTGTGCTGTACTAGTAACGAATTGGCCACGTCCTGTTTACGTGATACACCTTATTAATTGGCTGTGTCGGGTGGTGGCGGGTTTAACGACACATTTATGTTTACGCGATCTAACCCAAAGAAAACCTATCTATTTTATGGATGATATTGGTCGTGAAAGCCCACATGTTAAACTGACGTTTTATTTAATTTTGCCAACTTGTTGTACATGATTCTATACGTAGGTTTTCAGGACCAATATTATTGATTTGTTGTACATGACCTTTGTTTTGCTCAAGGGGATTCAGTTCCACACAGAAACCGCATCTAATGCAGCCCCGTGTTTGGTGGTGCTGCAGTTTTGCCAGATGTGTCGCAAGGGCGATAACGAGGAGCTTCTTCTCCTGTGTGATGGCTGTGACCGTGGCTGCCACACATACTGCCACAAGCCAAAGCTTCCTGCCATCCCCGATGGAGATTGGTACTGCCCGGCCTGTATATCCAAGGTAACGGGAAGCCGCGCGGCACCTCCATCTTCCACTACCGTCACATCCTTCTCCTGCTCCTCCGCCCCATCGCCCGACAAGCTGCATGCCGCATCAGCTCCATCCCCCGCTCTTGCTGCCGCCGCCACCACCACCACCCCCGGCGCTACCACCGCTGCTTGGGTTCACCACATTCCTGTGAGTCAGCCCAACGCGAGCACGCACGCGCACGTATGAGCTAGCACACGCATAATATGCCTGCATTTCCCACAAAATGTCGCATGGTCGTGCTATACCTTTGTGCATCTTCAGAAGCATGTTTGTATCTGAAATGGTACACATTAATGGTGAAACAATGGCTCCATATTATGTTTGCATGTGGTGGATGTGTCCTCTCAAGGGTAGGATTTAAGTGGTCTAAAGGCCATGCATTCATTTGCTTTTATCCACCATACAAGCAGTGTCAGTTGGTGCTGCTGCATTGCTGTTTGTCTCGATACCATTTATCATTGCTGCTGATCAGATATTGTGTCTATGGATTCACATTGTAATTTCAAACATTTTCTTTCACCCAGTGCTCCTTGTGTTTGCAACATCCACAAAGTGCTTAACCCTTATCCCAACACAATTGTCTCCCTGTGGTGCATTTGAAATGCTTACCCACAGGCCAGTGGGCAGTCTCCCAAAGCAGGAAAGACAAAATCACCACGTGGTCGCAAGAACAATAGCGAGGGCGGCTCCGCAGCAAAGAAAAGCTGCGGGCGCAGTGCCAAGTCAACCTCCGTGCTTTCTCCTCCACTGCCACCACCTCCTCCCCCTCTTCCACCTCCTCCTCTGCAACCTCCTCCTCTGCAATCACCACCTCTGCAACCTCCTCCTCCTCTGCAACCTCCTTTGCAACCTCCTCTTCCTCTGAAACCTCCTCCTCCTCTGCAACCTCCTCCTCCTCTGCAACCTCCTCTGCAACCTCCTCTGCAACCTCCTCTGCAACCTCCTCTGCAACCTCCTCTGCAACCTCCTCTGCAACCTCCTCTGCAACCTCCTCTGCAACCTCCTCCGCAACCTCCTCCGCAACCTCCTCCTCCTCTGCAACCTCCTCCTCCTCTTCAACCTCCTCCTCTGCAACCTCCTCCCCCTCTGCAACCTCCTCCTACTCTTCCTCCTCCACCACCACTGACTCTTTCCATCCCCACCGCCACCTCGTCGGTCTCCTCTTCCCCATCCGGGAGTACTGCCACGCCGGCCACCACGGATACAGAGGGGGACAGCCCCCGCAAAGGTGGCAGGGAAATGCGCAAGCGCCGCTTCCGTGATGACGACCTGGAGGCCGCCCTGCTGCTCTCACTGCGGGAGAGCATGCAGGTGTCGGGAGGCGAGGGATCCTCACCATTCCAATCCCCGGCACAGTCGCCATCTCCCAGCAAAAAAGCACGGAACAAGGAGGCGAGTTTGGACCTCACGCCGTGCAGGTGCGTTGTCTTTGTGCAGAGACCTTCTGTGCAGTGGCCGCTTGAGATTTTTGTTTGCAACTTCACACGATTACTTGATGTGATTATGTAATTTTGGTACAATATTATAATTACGTTTTAGAGTATTAATACGGTAAAATAAAAATGGTTTGGATGTTCATACCACTTCCCATGCCATCAGGACGATCCTGTCTGAGCTGGAGTCCCACCATGATGCATGGCCATTCCTCCTGCCCGTCAACAGCAAGATGGTGCCAGGATATCGCACCGTTATCCGGAGGCCTATGGACTTCTCCACCATGCGCAACAAACTAGAGAGTGGGCAGTGAGTACACGCTTACATGAAGACATGTACACACTCTTATATACACAATTATAAAAAGTGAACTCTTGAAATTGGCAGTTTCCTACTTCACAGATGGTAGTCATTACATTAGTAAAACTGAAGCTATTATTTTTAGTTCTTGTCAGCATTTGTGTGACTCTGGACTAAACTCTTAAAACCTTCCAAGCCGCACCTTCACCCTCATTGTCTGCACCGTTGGCATCTGTCTGCACCCCGTGCCAAACTTCCCTCACCCTTACATGCTCAGTCACCATGATCTGTCGTCTTCCACATCCACAACATTGCTAAGATCTGCTGCTTCACCATTGGTGGCAGCTCTTAGCCACTACACCCCACCCTCTGGAACTCCTTCCCCAGGTGACTCCGCCTGGTCCCCTCTCTCTCCTGTTTTCAAGTCCGTCATCCAAAACATTTATTTTCAACCATACTTAATTGCTTCTCATTCCCTACGATTCTCCTTTGATTATCTGCACTCTGGGACATATTACCTTATGGATAGGATACGAAGTTGTTTTTACCAAGCACTCTGTGGAAGCATCGGCAAGCATTCGCACTGGGAGGACAAAGGCAGCCGGATATATTGCTGGCCATATTAGTATTTTGTATGCCAGGCCTAAAACAGGTGCTCGTCTCTCCAGACTCTACGAGGCTAACGGGAGATGTTTGTATTTTGTGTGCGCCACACGCAGGTACGCCACTCGCGAAGCGTTCGTGGCCGATGTGCGTCTTGTGTTCAAGAACTGTGAGCGCTTCAACGAGGACGAGTCTGACGTGGGGCATGCCGGCCACGGCATGCGGTGCTTCTTCGAGAGCCGTTGGGTGGAGCTGACTGGTGGGACCTGAACAGGGCTCCAAACTGCCGCCAACCCTTAGCCCTTCTTGGGCAGGGAATACACAACAAGCCTTACTTAGGGGAGACAAACACATGCTCATTTGAGGCATTTTAACACAAGGTATCATGACCAAACTTGTGTTCATTTCTGTTTCGGTTAGACATTTCACCACAAAACCATAATCATGTATGTGCCCCCTTGTGCTGTGTTGGTCTTATGCCTGTAATAGTACACACTGCTTTAAAAGGTGCATATTGGCGAGTGACTGCTCTGATTTCAGTGAGGCTGCCCAATAGGGCCTCAATAACTCACCAGCTGACCCAGATTGTGAAACACTGTAATAAATGATGCTGACTTAGCATGCAGGATGTGAAACTATGATGCATTATCCAAAAAAGCATTAGAGCAAAGGAACCAGATCTATTTTGGATTTCAAAGGCATCAAATAAAGTCCAAATATAGTCAGTGAATTTTAGGCCAGAGTTAATGAAGCTGTAGGAGACAGAATGTCGTTATTTGATATGTTTCATTTCAAATAAGCAGCATGATGTTGTTTACATGCAGACCAAATTATAGTTTGGTATTTTTGCAGCAGATGTGTAAAGTGACTCACATTGACTTGTGTATAAAACACAGGTTAATGGCATGATAGCACTAAATAGTAATTATGTTGTTCAGTGACCGCGTATAACTCACTGAAGATGAAACTAGTATGATTCTTAGGATTATTTGTTATTTAATTACATACTGGCACACTCTCACACACACGTTTATATGAAAGAACTAAACAAATATCACTTGTCAATTACAATCTAGTGACAGTTTAACATTCACAAGTTACAAACTGTGTGAGGAATTCCCAGGTGCGTGTGTCATAAAGTATGAACCCCTTGCCGGGCACTCTACCGCATACTGTATTAAAGTCGGATCAGTTTTCCAGAACCAGGACTGGAAAATAAAAGCGACGCATTCGAGCGAATGTTGTAAAGGAACCATTTGCACCGTACTGCTGCGCGGTGAGGATTTTTTTCTTGGTGATGCTGACATGTTTACTGTAGTCTCAAGCCGCGTGGATGTGATATGCAGCAGGGCATTAATCGGGTAGGGAGGGAGCACGATGTCCTGCCTGCCCACCACTCCACTATACTTTGTGCTGTTCAGAATGGGCCCAGGACTGAAAGTGCTCCCTTACTACCACCGGTAATAGAATTCGTGTCCGTTACCCGTTTCCATGGTGGAGGATGTATTTTCCTTTGGCAACTATAGCAGCAGAGTCCTTGTTCCTCTAATCATGTATGCTGTGGTCTGTTGGTCACAAAGCCCTGTGGTTGTGTAAAGCAGGTTAACGTCACACACATAGGTTATGAAACTATCGTTTTCTTATGTATTGAATGTCTGTAGAGGTTTACAGCGATGTAAATTAATTTTTTATTATTTGTTGTGTTTGTATTTATCACTAAGCGTTTGACGGGTCGTTTTTTTCGTAGAATGCATCGGTTTGTTGAGTAAAAAAAAATAATGTAAGTTTATTTGTTTACAAGATGCTACTCCGCGGAACAAGAGTGCTCACTGGGCTTGGACAGGGGGCTGCTGCTCCCTTGCCTGCCCCATGGTCAGAGGGAAGAGCATGCAGATGCCTCTGAAAATCATGCTAATCCTATATGTACATATACAAAGTATTGGTGCGGTTAGAATAAACTTTGTACATATCCTTCGCACAACACACTAAGTAAATGGTATTATTAGTATTGCCTTAGAAGCCGAGTCTCTATTGTCACGATGATTGTAGTCGATTGAGTACAAGGCACTGTATATACCTTGTTCAAATACATGTAGATACTGTATGTCCAATGTCGGATGTTTTGCATAATGTACTGTATTTTGGTGTGGGGGGGGAGTTAGGGAGGCAAGTGGGAAATGGAGTGGAAATGAGTCTTTGACTTTTAAGTTTCATCTTGTTAAAAATGTGAAATTTGGATTCATTGCGTTGTTGGTTTTTATGATTTCAAGTTTTGTTGGTGTAATGTTTAGCTGCCCACTTTGCTCTCTTGGGTCTGTGTTCTGGAGGCTCCTGGTGGGCTGTGCCAGCTTTTTCTTGGTGCTGCTCCATGATCCCATGTGTCAAGTCACACCTGTCCCTGGCTGACCGTCTGGCTATTGCCCAGTTTTGTCCTCTACAACCCAGAGATCCCTTATGCCACTATGGGAGTGCCCAACATTTTAATGCCATGCGTCTTTTGGGGACAAAAGTGACATACTGTATTTAAAGAATATAGTAGCTGTCTTTTGATTTTTAGGGGTATATTTTACATGGCTATGTGTGCTATGGATAATAAAAGCTTTTTTTTCTGTATGCAACAAAGTGAAGTGTGTGTTGTTACGGATTGGAATGTGGGGTGGTGCACTGAATCGAAATCTCTCAATGTCACAGGGTAGGTGCGGTGCATAGTTATTTAAACACTTGACATCCATGTATAATTGCAATGATGGATGAAAATGTGCTGAAGCCTGACTTGGCAGTTTGAGCTTACCCCCCAAAGTACAATGTGACTTAGTAATAACATGCTTTTGAGCTACCCTGTGTTTTTTTTACACTATAAAACATCACTTGATTGACATCTGAACATAATTAGTTATTTTCACATTTGTGCATGTGTGCTTTTTAAAGTAGTTTTTTTCCCCATGCACATCCGTTCTGAACACAATGCAAAAAAAATACAAAGTACGTTTTATAACAGTACAGGAGATAAATAAACCAGGTACAGTTTTGTACTTGGTGTGTTCAGCTGTAGAACAGATCTCATCATGTTTGATATGGTTTGGTTTTGTCTGGAAATTATAATGTGATGTGGTCATAAGCTACTGTCCATTATGTAGTGTACACCGTAGTTTAATTGTATTCTTGAGTTTACTGTCAACATAGTGCAGTATTTAATATTCAGAGTATGGCAATATTTTACACCGAGTATATTGCTGATTGATAACTCGTGAATAGTATTTTTTTTAGGGTAAAGTTGGAACCATAACTCATGATAGACAATCACAATACTGGTGGAGATATTGTATGAAGATCTATTTAGCCCTATGTATGTTGAATTTATTTCGCACTGTACGTAGCCAACCGTGTTAATCGGAGGTGCTGGGGAAGGACAAACTAAACACAAAAAGCAATTCATGTATATACCCTATATATGTGCAATTTCGGATGAGGGAGATGTTCAAGATGACACAGCTGAAGAAGTCCCACAGTAATAAAAAGGACGGTCCCCCCCCCGTACCATATGGAACCGAACATCATTGAAAGTGAGACCATCTGTTGCAAAGAAATTAGCGGACTTGCTTTCGAAACTTTGGCCTTAAATACATAATGATGGGATGCTTGCCACAATCTTAAGTTCAAAATGGGAGACAACTGATTGAAACCATTTGACCCATTGGCCACAAATATACTGTACGTATAACACGTAGGCTTTCGCGACCAATATTATTCATAATAAAGGTTCTTGGGTTAGATCGCGTTTATTTATAAATGTGTCGTAACCCTCCACCACCCGACACGGCCAATCAGCAAAAAAAGTGTCACGTTGACAAAGACAATTCACTACTTCAGCCCACCGGTGTGTTGAAGAGTTAATCCACATTTACAGTTTGAGTACGACGTTTCGCTGGTAAATACTTCCAGCATCATCGGGCAATTCGCCAGAATGGTAAAGCCCTCGCTTGCTCCCGGTTTTATATAGGGCAGCAGGGTGACGTCATCACTTAACTCATCAGGTGCAGTGATTAGAGGCGGAGGGGGGGGGGGTGTAATGTAATTATATAATCGATTAGTAATCAGTCATTGGTTATGATTAGTAATGAGTTGTAGATTAGTAATTCTTTAAATCAAAATGTAATGTGTATTATTTAATAATACGCTTCCAGGCCGCACTAAGCCGGTAGCTGTCAGAGCGATTAAAGTTATTCTTGTTCCTCTCAATTTCAATGGATTCTCTAATTAGTCTTTGCCAGTAATAATTAGTTTTACACACCACTGCAACATTGTCAAAATCAATTGAGTGTCCTTGTTGACAAGCATGTTCTGCCACTGCCGACAGTTGTGTTTGAGATAATTTAATATTTCTCTGATGTTCTTTTAGTCTTACGCTGATGTTACGTCCCGTCTGCCCAATGTAGCAGCTGCCACATGAACAATTAATCCGATATACACCTTCTGTTGATAGTTTAGGTAATGCGTCTTTAGTGCAAGATACTAGTTTTTGAATTTTGTGTACTGTACCAAATCTTACTGTAATGTTTTGCTTTTGCAAAACGCGGGCTAATTTGTCAGTTACTCCTGAGATATATGGAATTTTTATTGTTTTAACAATCTGGTCGCTTTCAGTAGTATTGCTTTGCGATCGTGATTTGGCATTCAGTGCTCTGTTAATTTGAGCATTATTGTAGCCATTCTGTCGTAGTGCGTCTTTAACGTGTTTAATCTCTCTCACTAGACTCTCACCATCTGACACTGTTTTCGCCCGATGTACGAGCGTCTTGATAAGAGAGGATTTTTGAGCTGGATGATGATGTGATTCTGCATTCAGATAGGCATCAGTGTGCGTTTGCTTTCTGTAAACGCTGTGTGTTATTTTACCGTTTAGGCCATGTCCAAGCAAAATATCTAGGAATGGGAGTGTGTTATTCACCTCCATTTCCATGGTGAACTGGATGGCCGGGTTTTGTGCATTGAGATGATTTAGAAAATCATTAAGTGTATCTTTACCATGTGGCCAGACAACCAAAGTGTCATCCACATACCTAAACCAAAAGGATGGTTTTAATGTGCTCGAGGCAAGTGCTCTTATTTCAAAGTTTTCCATGTACAAATTTGCTATAGCAGGGGATAAAGGAGAACCCATTGCTGCTCCTTCCTTTTGTTTAAAGAAATCCCCTCTCCATAAGAAGTAAGTGTTATTTAAACAATGGCCAGCAAGTTTCGGAATATCTTTTTGTAAACCGGTATTCTTTACTAGTGTATCAAGTAATTTAAGCGATTCGTCCACTGGAACCTTAGTGAATAGAGAAATCACATCAAAACTTACCAGAATATCATCAGGAGTAAGTTTAATATCTTTAATCACATTCACAAGATGTTCTGAATTTTTTATGAATGAAGATGTCTTACCGATGTAGGGCTGTATTTGTTTGGTTATATATTTTGCTAATTGATATGTGGCAGAGCCAATTGTACTGACTATGGGTCGTAATGGGATGCCGATTTTATGAATCTTTGGTAGCCCATAGAGTCTAGGTGGTTTCGAGGCCCTTGGCTTAATTAGGTATTGCTCATTTTTAGGGATTAATGAATTTGCAATTATTGCAGTGGTATTACGTTCTAAAGTATTAGTTGGATCTCGTTTAATTTTAATGTAGGTACTTTCCTCTAGTAAATTTCTAATTTTATTATCATAATCGGCTCGTGACATCACTACAGTAGTGCGGCCTTTATCAGCTGCTAGGATTTGCCCTACATCGGTAAGACATCTTCATTCATAAAAAATTCAGAACATCTTGTGAATGTGATTAAAGATATTAAACTTACTCCTGATGATATTCTGGTAAGTTTTGATGTGATTTCTCTATTCACTAAGGTTCCAGTGGACGAATCGCTTAAATTACTTGATACACTAGTAAAGAATACCGGTTTACAAAAAGATATTCCGAAACTTGCTGGCCATTGTTTAAATAACACTTACTTCTTATGGAGAGGGGATTTCTTTAAACAAAAGGAAGGAGCAGCAATGGGTTCTCCTTTATCCCCTGCTATAGCAAATTTGTACATGGAAAACTTTGAAATAAGAGCACTTGCCTCGAGCACATTAAAACCATCCTTTTGGTTTAGGTATGTGGATGACACTTTGGTTGTCTGGCCACATGGTAAAGATACACTTAATGATTTTCTAAATCATCTCAATGCACAAAACCCGGCCATCCAGTTCACCATGGAAATGGAGGTGAATAACACACTCCCATTCCTAGATATTTTGCTTGGACATGGCCTAAACGGTAAAATAACACACAGCGTTTACAGAAAGCAAACGCACACTGATGCCTATCTGAATGCAGAATCACATCATCATCCAGCTCAAAAATCCTCTCTTATCAAGACGCTCGTACATCGGGCGAAAACAGTGTCAGATGGTGAGAGTCTAGTGAGAGAGATTAAACACGTTAAAGACGCACTACGACAGAATGGCTACAATAATGCTCAAATTAACAGAGCACTGAATGCCAAATCACGATCGCAAAGCAATACTACTGAAAGCGACCAGATTGTTAAAACAATAAAAATTCCATATATCTCAGGAGTAACTGACAAATTAGCCCGCGTTTTGCAAAAGCAAAACATTACAGTAAGATTTGGTACAGTACACAAAATTCAAAAACTAGTATCTTGCACTAAAGACGCATTACCTAAACTATCAACAGAAGGTGTATATCGGATTAATTGTTCATGTGGCAGCTGCTACATTGGGCAGACGGGACGTAACATCAGCGTAAGACTAAAAGAACATCAGAGAAATATTAAATTATCTCAAACACAACTGTCGGCAGTGGCAGAACATGCTTGTCAACAAGGACACTCAATTGATTTTGACAATGTTGCAGTGGTGTGTAAAACTAATTATTACTGGCAAAGACTAATTAGAGAATCCATTGAAATTGAGAGGAACAAGAATAACTTTAATCGCTCTGACAGCTACCGGCTTAGTGCGGCCTGGAAGCGTATTATTAAATAATACACATTACATTTTGATTTAAAGAATTACTAATCTACAACTCATTACTAATCATAACCAATGACTGATTACTAATCGATTATATAATTACATTACACCCCTCCGCCTCTAATCACTGCACCTGATGAGTTAAGTGATGACGTCACCCTGCTGCCCTATATAAAACCGGGAGCAAGCGAGGGCTTTACCATTCTGGCGAATTGCCCGATGATGCTGGAAGTATTTACCAGCGAAACGTCGTACTCAAACTGTAAATGTGGATTAACTCTTCAACACACCGGTGGGCTGAAGTAGTGAATTATTTGTCTTTGTCAACGTGACACTTTTTTTGCTGATTGGCCGTGTCGGGTGGTGGAGGGTTACGACACATTTATAAATAAACGCGATCTAACCCAAGAACCTTTATTATGAATACTGTACGTAAATTAAGATAACACGTACATATGAGGATAAACAACCACACCAGCAAACCGGATTCAGAAAATACGTTTAACAATACTGCACTGTGTATTGAAACTATTTCTAGAAAAGATAATAAAATATCTGGCTTGTATCAACTATTGAGGAACTGTAAGCAGTCACCAACGTGAACACAAAGAAACCGCGATATGACATTGCATGCCGACATCTGAGTCAGACAAGGAGATTGTATCCTTTCACACCACGCCTATCCAAATAAACATTTGAAGATATTTTCCGAAAATTGGAATTGAGATATAAAAGCGTAACCATGAACTGTGGAAGTATTCAATTCATTGTTAAATAAATTGGGAGGAATTTTCACGAAGGCCACAAAGTTAAGACTCGCGAGCGAAAAAATAGACAATAGTGGTGCCACAACTAAATATAATATGTAAAGGGCAATTAGTGAAAGCGAGACCAGATTCACAATGAGACGAAAACCGAGCACACTCATAGCTTCGCGAGATTGTTCATCAGTACTCAAGCGTATATCTCCCGCAGTGACATACGAATCATAAACATTACAATGAATATTGATACTAAATCTGAAAGTCAGTTTTAACACGTCGGCTTTCGCGAACAATATCATCCATAACAGGTGTTTTGGGTTAGATCGCGTAAATGTGTCGTTCTGTTTACGTGACGAACCTTACTAATTGGGGTGTGTGTCGGGTGTTGGCGGGTTTTAACGACACATTTATATTTACTCGATCTAACCCAAAGAACTGTATTTTGGATGAATCTGAAAGTGCACGTTGTGAACATCACAAGGGCACGTAATCGATGTTTAAGCCACGTAATGATCTGACACAAGTTTTCGTCGTTAAGCTCATTGACACCAGCCAGAAAAATTGTGAACCATCTTGTTCCCCAGCCTACATCATTGACACGCTGCATCCACATATGTCCCTCTCTCAAGGTCACTAAGATATTCTCTCTTCATTACCAAGGCCGACGTTTCGATCTATGGGTGACCGAGTTTGTTTTCCCGGCTAATGGACCGACGCTTTTGCACGAGACATCACACGGATCTCAGTCTCTGACATATTCGTATTTTTTTCATACTTTCACATCTCTTTGGAGTCTGTGGACATTTTAAAAATACGCCTTAAACCCTATGTATACGCTTCCGCTTATTAAACGTTTAGTTCATTTAATAAATTATTCTTAAAATGTATTTAAATTGTTATTTAATGCTGAGTGCTGCTACCTGCTGGTGTCCTGTTAGAGCACTTTGAGATCCTTTATAAATGTAATCATAATAATTATTATAATCATCACGACACAGTGTTGGCTGCAGTAACATGCGTTGTTAGCATTATCTCCAGGTCACCCTTCCAAACGAGACTATCTTTGGCCTCTCCTGAGTTTGCACCCCAGTTAAACAAGTAAACTTTGCGGGGACTTGAACTGTGCACCGCGGGTGGCTATTGCAGAACAACTCCACGTGGAGCGCCGCCAGCCAGCCGTGACGTCACCCGGGAGACGCGCGCGAGCCGAAGCCCTCGTGACGTCACTTTACCAGGTGGATCCTCTCCACTCCCCGCCGCCCTCTTGCGACGTCACAAAAACGTGCGAGCCCCTCCCCCACCGCCGCAGACTCCTGGTGATGTCATGTCACTATCATCCCCCCACCCTCGACCCCCCTTCACCCCCCAACCCCCCCCCACTTTCACCCACCCTCGACCCCCGTCTTAACCCCCCCTTCGACCCCCCCTCAACCTGTCCATCAAAGAAGCATCAGTTCCTCTAGAATGGAAACATTCCTATGCCCGTCCACTTCACAAAGGGGGCCCTAAAGATGATCCCAATAACTACCGACCTATCTAAATTTTGTCCCCATTGATGAAAATTTTTGAACTACCAAATTAGCAGTTTCCTGTCCACCAACAATCTATTACATCTAAAACAATCTGGGTTCCGAAAAAAATACAGCACCACATCTGCTGCATTAGACTCTCCGAATCAAATTTACAGTAGCCTTGATAATAAGCAGTACTGTGCCTGTCTTTCTCTTGACCTGTCCAAAGCTTTTGATACAGTAGACCACAACACCCTGCTTAGTAAACTAAGTTGCCGAAAACACAGTACAATGGTTAAAAAATTACCTCTTTTCTCGCACCCAAACTGTATTCACAGATGGTTGGAGGTCAAACAATGTTAAGATAACAAAAGGGGTTCCACAGGGTTCCATCCTCGGCCCCCTCTTGTTCTCTCTTCATGTCAATGACTTGGGCACTGACCTGGATCATTCCAGGGTAAATCTTTTTGCAGATGACACGATATTGATTACTGCTGGCCGCTCTCCGGATGACGTGATTGCTAAGCTCCAGGGTGATTTCAACAAACTACAACATCAGCGAGTTGCTCTTAAACTAGTCCTGAATACCTTCAAAACCAAGGTGCTATGCCTCTCACCGTGACTAAAGCAGGAGGTTATTTTTCCCCAATTACATTCCTTAAATAATTATCAAATAGGGCAAGTCAAGATCTATAAGTATCTTGGGGTCATCCTGGATTCAAAACTGAATTTTGAAGATCACATTGATTATATTGGTAAAAAGACAAAAATAAAAATTGGTTTTCTGTATCGACACAAGCACTGCTTCCCCCCAATGTTCCGTTTGGAATTGATAAAAGCTACCATACTGCCTCTGCTTGCCTACTGTGACATCGTGTATAAATCAGCCCCAAGTACTGTACTGAAGAAGCTTGATTCCATCTATCACTCGGCCTTAAGATTTGCATTGAACTGCCCATATAGGACTCACCACTGTGATCTCTACATTGGGTCAAACTTAACATCTCTTAATGTTCGACGGCTTGTGCACCAGATCTTATTTATTCACGATGTACTTACAAAAAAATCCGCAGACTACCTGCTGGATCTCCTCGCTGTTTCAAAGAACAAATTTGACCTCAGGTCTTCGCTCATTTACTAGCTTCACATTGCCGTACAAAAACCGGAGGAAGGGCCTTTGCTATTGATGCCCCCAGGGTCTGGAATGCTATTGCCAATAAACTGCAACTTGAATCACTACCTATGAGATCTTCACTCAAAACTGCTTTAGAGCAGTTGTACACCCCTAGCTGCCACTGCTATTCGTTGTCCTAAAATATGGCTCTAGGGTTTGGTGTTACATGTTATTTATATAGTTTATTGTAAAAAATTCGGTCACAGTCCCTATGATCACTGTTACACTGCATTTATGGCTTTTATTTTGGTGATTTCGAAAAAGTTTTTTGGTTTGGCCATGTTTTTGTTTATTGTAGTACGGAGTTAGACTGATGGCCTTAATCTTAGTTGTCTTGTGGTTGTTGTTGTTGTTTGACTTGCATTCCACTGGGATTTTTGCACACAGCGTTGGTGTACGGTGCTATTTCAGGAATATTTTGATATTTTTTTCTGTATTTTCTGTTTGCACAGTCACACATAATCACTTTAAGATGTTTTCTTGGTCATGTTTTTTGTTTGTTGCGGTTGCACCCGATTCAAGAGCCAAATGGCTCACAGGGCTATACCAAATAAATGGCACTATGAACTATGACCCCCCCGGCTCGTGACGTCACGGTAGCGGAAGTGTCGCCGCCGCGCACTGTGGGAGGGAGGTTGAGGCGCTTGCCGTGAGCCCCCCCTTGCCGTGAGCCCCCCTCCTTGCCGTGTGAGTGCCGTGAGCCCCCCTTGCCGTGAGCCCCCCCTAGCTGTGTGAGCCCCCCCTAGCTGTGTGAGCCCCCCCCCTTGCCGTGTGAGTCTCCCCTTGCCGTGAGCCCCCCCCTTGCCGTGTGAGCCCCCCCCCTTGCCGTGTGAGCTCCCGCGGCGTCGCGCGTTTTGCGTCCGCGAGAAAGGGGGGCGGTGGGGAGGGGGGCGGTGGGGGGGGGCTGCTTTTGTTTTTTCGCGTTCAAGAGCGCCGAACAGACGTCCGGCGTCCCCTGTGCCCGTCGCGGGCTTGTAAGCTGCCGCCGTGGCCGCCGTGGCCGCCGTGGCCGCCGTGGCCGCCGTGGCCGCCGTGGCCGCCGTGGCCGCCGTGGCCGCCGTGGCCGCCGTGGCCGCCGTGGCCGCCGTGGCCGCCGTGGCCGCCGTGGCCGCCGTGGCCGCCGTGGCCGCCGTGGCCGCCGTGGCCGCCGTGGCCGCCGTGGCCGCCGTGGCCGCCGTGGCCGCCGTGGCCGCCGTGGCCGCCGTGGCCGCCGTGGCCGCCGTGGCCGCCGTGGCCGCCGTGGCCGCCGTGGCCGCCGTGGCCGCCGTGGCCGCCGTGGCCGCCGTGGCCGCCGTGGCCGCCGTGGCCGCCGTGGCCGCCGTGGCCGCCGTGGCCGCCGTGGCCGCCGTGGCCGCCGTGGCCGCCGTGGCCGCCGTGGCCGCCGTGGCCGCCGTGGCCGCCGTGGCCGCCGTGGCCGCCGTGGCCGCCGGACGGATTTTTATCACGAGCCCCGGGTGGGGGGGTCAAGGATCAGAGGCCGAGGTTCACGTGGAGGGGGTTGGAGGCCGGTGTAAAGGGGAGTAGAGACGACTCACGGGTGTCCAACCCAAGCTGAATATGCTGTCTTTGTTCTACTGCCAGGCTTTGAGTTTAAAGTGCCTGTGAGGTGAGGAACAGGGGGGCTGTTAAAAGGCGTCAACCTCACGGGGTGGAGATTAATGCCGCGCTCCCCCCCCCCACCCCCATCTGTTCAGAAGAGCGTTCTTGTCTTCACAACTTGGTTCATGTGTATCACCAGCGTCGCACGTAAAATATTTCGCAGTATGTTGGACGCATGTTGCGTGTCACGCACGTGTTTATCCAGGAAAGCCTCGCCGAGTTTTAAGGCTGTTCGGAGCAGCCCGGCGAGTTGTTGTGGCAGGCGGGGGCGATGTTGATCGGCGTAATCCCAATTTGCCTAAGTTGAACGCAATTTCTCAACAATGGGATTGTTCTTTTTTTTTTTTAAACCAATACCACCAGTTCCGTTGTTTTAGATTTGTGCATTGCCTTCTGTGTCCCGCGCGCACCACTCCGTTGCAGGCAGGAAGGCCGGGCCACTTGCCATGGAGTCGAGGGGAGGAAGTCTGAGCGCCGCCGTGACGCTCATCCAGAGCCTCGGCGAGCACGCGGACGACGTGAACTGCGTGGCCGCGTCTCGCCACTGCCTCGCCACCTGCTCCTCCGACAAGACCGTGCGTGCGTACGCGCTCGACTCCCTGCGCGAGATGCCCTTCTCCCCCATCCGCGCCCACACCTACGCCGTCCACTGCTGCTGCTTCAACCCGGACGGCAGCCTGCTGGCCACCTGCTCCACCGAGGGCACGACGGCCCTGTGGGACGCGCGAACCGGGCAGCGCATCACCGTGCTGCTGCAGCCCGGCGGCGGCTCCGGCGTCCGCGTCTGCGCCTTCTCTCCGCGCCCGCTCGGCGGCGACGCGGGCCAGGCTCCGGCCACAGCTGCGCCGCCCGTCGAGTGCCTCCTCTCGGGCTCCACAGACGGCACCCTGGCCCTGTGGGACGTGCGTGCCCATCGGTGCTTGAAGTACGTTGCGCCATCCGCACTTAATTGTCTTCGTTTGTCTTCGCCGCGCGCTCGTGGTGTCGTGTTCTGGTATCTAGTGAACGCGTGGTTGGTCGCGGTGGTGGTGGTGGTGAGGTTGTCTTTTGTGTCAAACGTTTGATGGATTTTGTAGAATTCATTATTCGCTCCAGTAGAATGTATTATTATGGGTTGTTAAAGCAATCAAAACTGCGAAAAGTAAGTAAATGTCAGTCTGCGTTGTGTTCTTTATTAAATCTCTTACGTGAACATTCCCTGAGCTGATTTTGATGCTTGATAGGCATTCAATTGAGCATTTTTTGTACAAACTATATGAACAGTACGTTGTATCTTAAGCCTTACAATATAGCATGTTGTTTCGTAATTTTAAAATGTTGAATTAACTGATGAGAAGAACATATTTTTCATAAGTGTCCAATTTTTATCTCACTGCATTATAATTCCAGACACATTTGACACTGCTGTTTTGAGGTCGGCCTTTGAGTTGCAGCGAACAGCACAGTGCTGAAGTGGTGCCCTGTGCCACGCTATCTCCACAGAGTGGCAAGCCTCAAGGACGGCTCGGTGAGTGGCTGTGCCTTCTCGCCCTGTGGCCGGGCATTCGTGACTGGCTCCACTATTGGCGAGCTCAGCGTGTGGGACGCTGTGAACATGCGCTGCTTGCACACGACCCGAAGTGCACACGACCTTGGTGTCACCGCCGTCAGCTTCTCGCCACCACCCCGCCCTGGTAGGAGCAGAAGAGTGTGTCCATGCCTATAGCACACTTGGTCAATTCAGATGTATTCGAGGTTTCAGCTAATCATTATTAAACCAGATTTTCAAGTATTCCTGTTCTTGGTTCCTTCGGTAAAGTCGCGTAGATAGAAAACAAAAATCAAAAATAAAAGCACAAAAACCCACGACGTTTCTTCAGAAGAAGACCGCTTGTGTTGCGATCGGAACGTCGTAGGTTTTTACATTTTGATTTTTGTTTTCTATCAACGTGACTTTACCGAAAGAACCAAGAACACAGATTTTCAAGTTTTAAATAGTTTATAGTTTCAGCATGGTCATTGGCAAAACTATAGTTTTGTCTTATGATTTTGCAGTGTGTTTTAAAAAGTTACTTGACTGGATCTAAGAAGTAGTTACATGATATTCTTTATGGGTGGCACAGTGGTAAAGCTTGTGCATCACAAACAAGAAGGGCCTTGGTTCGATATATACCATTTGTGTGTTCTTCCCTGTGCCTCAAAAAAAAATGTAACTTGTATTGGGTAACCATTACAATTCTGAAAGTTTACCTGCAAAGTACTCAATTGGGATTACACGTAGAAACATTGCCCCCTACTGCAAAAGCTTGGCAGAACCCTCCTGAAAAAAGGTCTGGAAAATCGATGAGGTTATCCTGGGTAAACATGCATAATAATAATGGAAATCCTGTACAAGCCGTTCTCTGACATGGGATGATGCAGTGTTGTGCAACATTTCTGAATGGATGCTTTGCTTCTTGACATCATGCAGAGCACAATAAGAGTAACATTGCTAAATATGTAAACATACATTTGCAGATATGTTGTACGACGTGATTAAAATATTCTGCTGGTAGTCACTGCCTGTTGCTTATAAAATTTGTAATATTTTTCAGTGGCCGGTGTTGAAAGATTTGAGACGCAGCGGTCAATAATGGCCTCATGTGGGCAAGACAACAAAATTGCCCTGTGGACGCTGGCATTGGACCGGACCGGTAGGTGACAGTAATATTCGTGGATCTAACTTTTTCCAGGCAATGTTTTTTTTAATTCAGTTACTTTAACATTGAGAGTCCAATGTGAACAGATGTGAATATCTGTGCATAGGTTATTTCACCCAACCCTGCATTGATTTTGTATGAAAGGGGAAAGTGTAAGCACAAATGGGAATCGCACTACTGCTAGTGCACAATTTATATTCTCTTATTAGTTATGTTGTATTATACATTGTTAGGAATGGCATGTGTTAGTGTTTTGTGTGTACCGCACTGTGCCCTGCAGGAGACTGCCTGACCCTACGCTTCTGCCTTGAGGGCCATACAGCACCTGTGCTCTGTTGCTGCTTCTCCTCAGATGGACACGTGCTTGCCTCTGGGTGATTTGCACAAAACGATCTTCCACTGTCTTGTTTTTAGACAATTATCCTCTTCTATAAAGACATGAAAAAGCCATGCACAATGGTGTGTTAAGCAACTGTATGCTTCAGCGATGGGTTTTGTTTATTATGATTAAACTAGCCTTTTGCCCGGCTAAGGACGGGTGTATTTCAGTAAATCTGAAACTTGCAAGCGAAAAGCAGACCGCGACGTGATATTCTTTGCATCAATTCGTGTGCAATTTGTAAGTCTGCGGTGACAGACTTATTTAATTTAAAGGTTGTAATCCCTTGTTCATCATGACGTCCTTTTTACTTCTATGTCTCAATAGCGTTACGGAGATCACGTGACGTGAGGGTTCTAACTTCGTAGTGAGGGTTGTAAGTTGACGCTGAGGAGGGGGGAGGAGGCACCTCGCCCTCCCATGTGGAGTGACATCACCTGCTAATTATTATTAATGGAGGGGGGTGGTGTCCATTTGGAGGACGTCACCTCTTCATAATTATTAATGTGGGGAGCTGTTCGATGTGGAGTGACGTCACCGGCTCATGATTATTAATGGAGGGGGGTCCATGTGGAGGACGTCACCTGTTCATGATTATTGAGGGGGGCTGGCCGACGTGGAGTGACGTCATGCGCGGGACACAGACATTTTTGGCTCATAGTAGTAAATATGGGGCTGCTGGGAACATGATACATGGGTGTGTGGTCTTTACATGAATAGTTGATGCTATTGCGGGGTAGGTCTAACATTCTGTTAGACCATGGGAAACATATCCCTGCTGCCCTGATGCAAGAACACAAGAGGCATTGCTAAAGGGACACAAAGGGGCTACCCATTTGCTAATGACGTGTTACTCTTTTGCAGTTCTGTTGATAAGTCCGTTATTCTTTGGAACCCAGTGAGTATGCTATTTCGCTAAGTAATAAAAGCATCAATAACACTGCACTTTGTTCTAGAACTTTTAATGTTTTGTAGTTTTTACATTGAAATTAATTAATAATTTAATTTCTTTAAAATACACAATATTCTACGGTGAACTTTTTTTGACGCTATTTATAAATTTGTTTATCCTGCTAGATCACTGGAGAAAAGCTCTTAAGCATTATGGAGCACCAAAGGTATGTTTTTGTAATGTAACATTTTTTTCATGAGACATTTGTAATGTTAACTTAACCACATTTCCATGAGTGTAATACTAGAGTTGTGCAAGTCTGTTTACTCATGGTCTGTGTACTATATGACAGTTCAGTGGGCTCACTGAATTAAAGATGAGAGACTTTACCGAGAGTTTGTTTTGTGTAGGTATGTGACGTCTTGTGCCTTCACGCCTGGGGCTCCCTATCTCATTACGGGGTCAATGGATAAAACAGTGAAGCTTTGGAGACTGGAGAACACACCAACATCACAAGGTGTGTTCCGTATGTGATCTGAGGTTTGCAATGAGTTGACTGCAGATATATTGTTTATTTCAGAGAACAGATCCATCCTTTTTCAGGTTGATTTATATTTGTTATTTATTTCGTATGATAAATGTTAAAATTGTCATTGTAGTTAGCTTTCTCAATTACGTGGTTGTGTATATTAAAATGCCTAGCGACTTTCTCTTAATATGCAGTTTTTAAAAAAAAATCTCTGTAATACTTTCTAAATATTAATTGCTGCAAACATTGTTGAATGTAAATTTTAGTGAGTTTGACATGTATTTATTTCTAATTAAAAACAATCACGTCAAAGCTGTCAAAACCTATTTTTATCAGGTTTAAACAAATTACTTGTGTTGATTTAACTCTTGTGCCCTGAATAACAATTCTAGAAGATGCAACATCTGTATATTGTTGGAGGCATTTCAAAGTATAATGCTGTTTTTTTTTTTTTACAGTGAGCCCATGTATGAGCTGTGGTTTTGGCTTTGGCTGCGGCTGTGATGGAGGGAGTGGCTATAGCGGGCATTGCACTGGCGGGTCAGCAGATGCAGTGGGACATCGAGCAGCCATGCAGTGGTCTGTGGAGGACGTCACAAGCTGGCTACATGATGAGGGCCTCGCTGAGCTCACAGAAACTTTCCGCAACAATCACTTGGATGGGCAGGAGCTGCTGCTGCTGGAGAAAAAAAGCCTCGGCGCTGAGCTCAACATAGGTAATTGGGCTAAAATGTCTTCTTTGGTTCTTTCGGCTAAAATGGTGACATTTTGAATATGAATGTGTGAACAGATGTGCTTTTGAACACAACCGCTGATGGTGAATGTGTACGGGCAGAGTCGCTCGGGCTGCGGAACAAACTGTGGCGGAAGCTGGAGGAACTGAGATCCCTGGAGAAGACAGTCTCAGACACAGATGTGCCCGATGAGTTCCTGTGCCCCATCAGCCGGGAGCTCATGCACAACCCTGTCATTGCTGCTGGTGCGAGCTCCGTTTACAGTGGAACAATTATATAAGCACACACAGAGATACGTGCACGCACACTTATTCATGTAATCGGATGCAAAAAGACAAAGATCCTACATTCAATCATAATACACCTTTCCCCATACGGGTGTAAGGGTCTATTGTTAACCACTGCGCCACTTCATCCCACACACGCATGCATTGGGATGCTTGTGCTCTTTGAATCGCATCAAATAGTGAAAAGCTCAACATTGCTAAGTTTTTATACGTGCTCTGACCCCTTCATATTACAGATGGCTACTCGTACGAGAAGAAGGAAGTGGAGGCCTGGCTGCACGGTCGCCGGCGCACGAGTCCCATGACCAACCTGCCGCTGGAGTCGGCCATCCTCATACCCAACCGAGCATTGCAGGCGGCCATTCGGCGCTGGCTGGAGAGCCGAGTGCCACCAGCTCAGGTCTGACGAAATGTCACACCTGCAAACTGCAAGATGCCATCTTGTCGCTGCCAACACCCGTCGTATATGAATTCCCTCTAAAAGAGAACCACCAACGCATTACAGGCGACCCCCCCCCCCCTGCACCTACGACCTAATTGGGTCCTGGATGACGGTCGCAAGTCGAGCCATTGTAAGTTGAACCCTCGTAAGTCGAACCCTCGTTTCCCATAGGCGCAATGTTATACATTGGGGTTCGGTTCCTGGAAACCCGTTACCATAAAAATACCAAAATTGACCACGAAAATAAATGAAAATAACCCTAACAAATATTGCAATTTAACATAACCTTTACAAACACTTAAGTACTTTACATGTGCATCACATTTCCTCTTCTCGGACGTAGCAAAAGGCGATTTTTTTTTTATTTGAAGACATTACAAAAGTGAAGAGTGTTGCAAGAGACGCCGCTGCTGTGTTCTCTGTCGGTGCAGCTGCAGCAGCAGCCACGACGAGTGCACATTTCGTGCACTCACTCGTCACCAATCAACTCTTCACCAATCAACTCGGCGTCGGTAGCAGTCGTTCGGTGGTCGTAGATACGAGTTTTGGTCGTTACTGTGGGGTTCTTAATTACCGTAAGAAAGGTCGTAAAACCGGGGGTGGGGGGGTCGAAAGTCGAGCCGTCGTAAGTCGGGGTTGACCTGTATTTATATTTATCGAATGTGTTGAGCTGATGCAGTTTAAGTTCTAGACTTGGTTACAACAAAGGTCGGACTTCCCATTTGTTGCGATTTAGCCGTCTACTAGATGTGGTCCTAGAGGAAATAAAGGCGACGTAGGCTCACTGGCTGGGCACTGCGGCTGTATGGGAACAATGAGATTACTCCTGGGGCAGTGTTGTAGTTGCTTTCTCGGCTATAAAACTTTACCTGGCTGAATTAAATGTGGAAATAACCCATCTTTTTAACAAATTCATTCAATAATTGTATTCATGCATTAAAGCAAACTATGGCCAATATGGTTATAGCTTCACACCCAAAACTAGTCTTTTCAGAATGTTTTACAGAATTAGTAAACATTTATCACGATTTGTCATTACACTTTTGGTGCTAATGACAAAATCATCCAGAATGTGCCGGGTCTTATCAGGTCTCCGAAGCTAAACAGGCTCATGCATAAAACAAGTGGGCTGCATATTCCATAATGAGGAATTCAAATATTTGCACACAAAACTCGCAATAGTTTTATATGGGAGTATTTGACGTGGCCATTTGCTGTTTGTCTTGTAACTGCTTGTACAACCCGAATCCTAATTTAGATGGAAAAGTGTTTAATATTATTGTGACACTGCATTACTGTACATCAAATAAAGCAGTGCTCAAGAATACCGCAATGATACAAAGCTGTATGTGGAGATTATATTCTTGAATGTTTTAAAGAAATTTGTAAATATGTAGCTGGTAATTTAACTGCTTCAATTGTTCATTTGGTTGTTTATTTGTTGCTGTATTGTCATCATGTCTGACCCGTGCTGTTCCCCCGTGATTGGTATTGGTGGCATGAATTTACTCTAAATATGGCCAAACTGCAGTTTATAAGCCACGAGGTGGCGGTGTTCCATGGTGGAATGAAATTAACCATGACAAGTACTGCCCTCTTTGTCATTCAACTGCACAACTACGGTATGTCTCGGTTTTTCATTTGAAAAGCCTTAAGTTAATTCGCGTATACAAACAGGCATCCAACCGTCTCTAAAAGGAGGTTGTGGCAGGAATACCCTCCGCTCTGGTATCTCTGGCGGACCTGCCACATTTTCAGAGACCAAACGACTCCACTGTCAAAAGTTTTCCTGTTAACTAAAAACCTTGGACGTGGTACGCCTATGCCGAGCTATTTAAACGAAGTGTACTTACTGGTCGCAATGGCAATCTTGTGCTTTTAATACGTCCTATTTGATGTAACTACGCCGAAACACACGGTGCCACACCAGGTGAATAAAGTCAAGACAGTATCACGCCATGTGCGATTATCAAAGTAATGGTCAAGGGGTCTGCACTTGCCTGTTGGTAAACTATTAGAAGGCAATTATCAGCACTGGGGCACCAACCATACATTAGTCAAGCATGCGTGTCTGTGCGTTCAGTGTATTCCACAAATAAAGTTATATTGTTGGTTTATATTTGAATGACTGGGCAGTTCAGTTTAAATTGGTTTGTTGATGCAGAACCAGTCCCATTTTACACGTTTAAACGCAGGTGGGCACTCCCAAAATCATTTCAGTGCTTCCATTTGATCACAATCTATATTTTCATGATAAATTACACTTTGGAGGATGATTCATGTGTTGGGAGGGGCGTTTTCGTGAAACAATTGAGAACTGGCTTCCTGTGGTACAGCGAAACGCCTCCACTTCATATGGCGCCGACATTAATGTAAATACATGAAGATCGATGTATAAGGAAAAGCACATGAGCAGTCGTATGGAATCAAATAATGTGCAGTTTTAGAAATTGAATATGTACGCATTGTACATTCGCAATTATTAGAAGGCAAACTGCTACATTGTACCTCATTAGGCATTCATGTTATATGCAAACTCGCTCCCAGTGTACATCATTTACCCTTGGGGACTTGTTTGTATAAGCGTCGATTATCAAAGCATTTCAATTAATTTTCATTGGCAAAATGTTGTAACAAATGGGCGATAGTTACATGGTGAATGCAAAACGCAGGATCCACAGTCCCCTTTAGTAGTTGAGTTGTGGTAAACACGAGATTATGCAATTCCCTGACCATGGTGAAAGATTTTTTGTTTAAATAAAGTTATGTATGCCCTTGATTCGTTATACAGCATCTTGAAAACATCTCATTCTTCTGAGGCAGCGGCATGCTAAGCAACAAAATCTGTTGATTTAATGTCTGCATTACATTATAATGGATAGCTTGTATTTGCTGCATGCAGCGCTTTATATCCACGGTTATAGGGGGTATACCATTCATATCGGGCTATATTATGACTATCCTTATAACTATAACAAAACACCATTGTTCCAATGTTCATACTAACGTCGGGTGGTGCGCTTCTCCATTGGTCCCAGACCAGTGTTGAAATTTCCACATTCTCGTGGTGGACGATTCTCATAAGGACAATCACATCATATACCTGCGTCATCCACTCTCAGTTTGGAAAGTACGGTACTTTGGTCATACTTTTTCAGGCACTGCACTCCTTGCATGGTAGCTCATGATTTGAGGACTTATTTGGTCAACCTTCATTTGGCCTGGTCAGGGGTTGAAATGAGGGCAGAGGCTGAAGTTTTTGCCAATGCATGAAAAGGTGATTTATTCAAGTGTTTTGAGGAGATGGATTTGCACGGCCACACATGCCATTACCTCCATAAACACAACTGCACGAGCAGTGTCCCACATGTGAACACCTGTTCACACAAACACGCGACCCAGACGTGCACTCGTACAACCTTTGGGCATTCGACCACGCGTGAGAATACATGGACTCTCCCCAAACATATAACAGCGTGGAGGGTACATATTAGAACGTATACTGCGTACATAACCAGATTCGCTCACATAACCACACGCAAATACGCATGTTTTTAATAAAAACCCACGTTTATGAAATTTACACATTCCGGGCTTAGTTGTGTATATATAAATAAAAAGGATATATAATGTATTATTCCTAGAAAATGTATTTTATTTCGTTGGAAAAAATACAAATTCTCATTTTGTAAAAAAAGTGCCATGGCATTTTTGCCTGATTTTACCAAAGAAAATATTTATTTTGTAGTTTTGACAAATATATGATAGTTATAAAAAAAATAAGCCATTTGAAGCAAAATCATTACTTGGCAAATGATGAAACTGGTTTTGGTGGGGGGAAGGAATGATATCTATGACCATCTGGCTATAATTGATAAAACTGTTTTGGTTTTTCAAATTATAAAGATAAGGTTTCAAGTGTTTTATAACTAAAACATAAGTGACATTTATTCTATTGAATCCCTGCAGTCTCGAAATTTTTCAATCAAAATGTATTCTATTGTTTAGGGGTGGATAATAAAATTATGTTTTTGTTGGACAAAACTAGTACATCTATATAGAACCTAATAGAAAAAAATTCAAATTAAGATTGTGAGCATTGTTAAAGCATTTTCTTAATAAAAACACAGCTATGGGATATACTGCATGTTTGGGGGAAACTTTGGGATACGGACTTATAACATCACCACCACACTAGTTTTTGTCTGAATTAGAAGCAGTTTATTACCTTTCAGGCAATCAAACCAATAAATGCACCAAAAGAGTAGAATCACACTTCAATATATCTCATGTGTCATTAACTTTGAACTATACACGTGAAGCACAGGAAAACTATTTACATGTTCAAAACTCTTATATTGTTTTAGTAGACATTCTGCCCTCCCTGAAAGAGAAAACACCCCCTTTCTAAACCAGAGCGAGTGATTGTGGTTACGAGTGTGGCAGACAGCGTTAATACACCAAGCACAACGAACTCTTCTCCAGACAGGTCTCGGGCACAACAAGCGAATTTTTTAAATATATTTACGTAAAAATGTTATACAAGCTTAAATGCAAGTAGTTATCCTCATCTTACAACAGATATTAATGTGCAATACAAAAGCCAATAGTTTATAAAAACGTGAACTACCTCCATACCTACCTTTGTTTTGCAAATCACTTTATGAAATAAAAAAGTGGCATAAGGGGGGAAAAAAAAAACCTATTCAGTCTACTGCTAAAATGTTTAAGAACGATTATCCCATTTACAAGAAAAAATACACAAGTTTGATTTTGTTTCCAGCCCCACATTTGTCGCACTTAGTCATACAAGCCGTTAGTGAGTTTCTTACTTTTTCTACAACTTTAAATAAGCACACTAACCAGTCTCGAGTCACCCCAGTCTCCATCATTCCGATAAAGTGCACTTGCAATACAGAGCCTGTGTGCGGAGACCAGGGGCGGAGCCAGGATTTTTGACTTGGGGGGGGGGCTGACTTCAATATTCTGAGATATCCAGTGTATGTTTTCCAATGGGCGCCACAAATGTATAAACACATTTTTTATTGGATTTGAACGCGGAGTTTATTAAGAGGTCGGAGCCGCTGATGTGGCTAATAAGTTCGAGAAGTTCGAAAGGCTGCCGCTCAAGCAGCCTGCAGGGCAGCACAAGGTGGCAGCCTGCAGCATTTTGCAGCAGCCGGATATCCGGTTATCCCGATTACCGACTTTCCCAAAATTTCAGGGGGGGCTGAGCCCCCCCCCCCCAAGCCCCCCCCCCCCAAGCCCCCCCCCCCCTGTGACTCCGCCCCTGGCGGAGACTGCACCTCTAGACCAACCCCGGCATGCACCCAGTACAGCAACTGCAGCCTTCCCAAACCAAACCGTAAACTTCAGCACTCCCAACAGCATTTACCAGCGTATCTGCGCGTGTATGTATATTAATAGGGAGTGGTAGTGTAGTGGTTAACGTGCTGCGCTATGAACACGACGACCCGAGTTAGATTCCCGCTCACGGCGAACACCAGTGATGATTATCTGAACTGGTAGACTGACAGTAGGCAAGTGTGTACAGTGGAGTTGTAGCACAGTGGTTAACGCATTGCATTATAACCCCGGTAACCCCAGTTCAATTCCCAGCCGTGGCTAATAATCAGGTGGGAGTAATATATCTTAACTAGTCCTGGGCCACCCCCTCGGTGGAGAGCCTCAAATGAGTACCTGATGCATGCCACTAGAGAGACAAGGTGGCCTGGGCATGGTACTGGCCACCCAAACCCCCTCGTGTGCAGTGCTGGCGCCTTCATAGGTGCTCGCTAACAGCACTGTTAAGGCTATACGGGGGATCTATGTATGCATGTTAACAAATTCATTGATATTCTAACACTTTATTTTACCGTAAAGAGCAGTGACTATGAATCCTAACTTTTCCAACCTGGTTATTTAATCCAAAACATTCTGTTAGGTCCACGGTGAGATGCTGATGTGTGTCAACAAATGCTTATTATGAAACATGAAAGTAGCAGAAATGCATTTAAAGGCTTGACCAACAAGCTCCTACCTAACAATAATGAAAAAAAAAGTAAAAATATTAACTTGTGATGATACAAATTCCTTTACTCCTGCATACTGTTATCTAAAAACCACGCTCACGATCAAGACTTTGAACTTTTAGTTCACCCTTCATGCTGGTAGAGAAATGCCATCTACCAAATCTGCTTAATCATATAACCAACATTCTCAATTCCCATCTTCATACAATACAATTCTCCAAATAATGTTAATCCACACAGTTTTTTTCCCATTTGTAAACCAAGTGCTGTCCCACATTCAATTGTCCAACTGCTCGTGGTTTTAAATTAATCTCCACCATCTCCGCTGCGCCTTCGTTCAGACATTGGACTCGACGTAGGATCTCTTTGGTTTTGCCGGCAGCATTGGGGGCGCTGCCCTGGATGGGTCGCCGCCGTCCTGTGCCGCATTCCGGCACGATCCCTCTGGCACTCCCAGCGTGGGTCGCTGCAGCCTGGGGTCCTGGGTGCCGTTGAGCACGATGGCCGTGCCTCCGGGCGGGCTGTTCGGCACGCCGCAGTTGTACGTGGTGGCCACCCGGCAAGGCCGAGAAAGCTGCCCAATTCCCTGGAGCATGGAGGCCCCCTCCGCATGGGCGACGGTCGAAGGTGCCGGCGAGAGGGTGCCAGTGCCCCGGCCTTGATGCGTCCGCGCTGTCTTGTCCTTAATTCCCATGAAGGGCGTCGTGCGTGGCTTCCTGCCCAATGACTCCTGAGGCCAGGCGTGGAACTCGCTGGACCGATCTGCTCGTGCGTGGCGGTCGTGGGCCAGGTTTCTCAGACAACCGAGCGCGTGAGGCCTGTCGCCATCACTGGAACTTGCTGTAGAGGTCAGGCTGCTGCTGGATGCGGATGTCTTCAGGTGCGGGCCTGGGGAGGGCAGCGGCGACAAACCAACCCGCTGAGTGTGGCTCACTTCAGCAGGCACTGTAGATGTCTCCGTTGGGCCGGTGGTAGTGGACGATGGCATGGAGCTCTGCAAACAACCAATGATAATAACAGTACATCTGGCATGTAACAAAACATGTTCTTGTTAATTCAATTATTAACTCTATAATCATCGTTTGTCTGGTTGTAAAAGTCCACTTTGTAACAAACCTGGGGCTGTGGTCCGTCGAGCTGGCGAGCAATTCTCTCCAGACTCGTGGCCGCACTGTTCCCGCCACTTCCTGGCCACTCGGAGCCATTAGTCACCAATGACAGGGGTGATGGGGTTAGCACGGCCCTGGGACCTACGCCCACCACTCCGCTGTGCACAGGCGTCCCGCATACCTGCCTGGTCTTAACAATCTGTGCCCTTGCCGTCTGCAGGGGAAGCCCTTGTTCCACGGTGATGGGTTCAGGGAAGCCGTCCTGATGCTGCAACTGACAGGGACTGCTTAGGCAGGCATCTCCACAAAGCTCAGGCCTCTCCACCATGACCGTCTTTTTGACGCTGCCGCCACGTGTTTTTGGGGGCAGTGGTGGTGGACAGATGCCTTCCAGCGCCGGTTTTATAGAGTGCGGGTCCCTCTGTGTGTTTGCGGGAGACGACAATGAAGATGACGTGGAGGAGGAGGACGAGGAGGTGACAGAAGAGAGTGATGAGGAAGAGAGGGAAGCACTGCCACTCTTGGGCTCTTTCCTTGGCCGCCAGGCCTCGTTGTGCCCTGGGATCGAGACAGATGAAGGTGGAGACTCTTCTGAGCAGTGCTTAGATCGAGGAGACCCGGGCGCCTGGCGCAGGATGGGCGAGGAGGTTGTGCTGTCATCATCCTCATCCTCATTGTCTCCCTCTGCATTCTCATTCTCCTCATCCATGCCTGCCAATGTGGAAGAGATGCATGGTGTGAGCAAGGCTTTAACCAATATTCAAAGAAAATTGAGGGATTTCTGAAGATTAAATTTTTGTATTCACCACAGGTATGTTTTGCAAATGTGGAAATCTTGTGCATCTCGAGCATTCAATAGTTCCGGTTAAACCTTTGCAATCAAACTTATTCCCATAAATATCTTAATACTCAGTCCCAGAATAGCCACCGTAATTCTAGGAATCCTTCATTTTTGCAACAGCAGCATAAATTATGAAAGCATGTGAGAGCTCATTAATTATTGACTAAATGCAATGTTGGCTTCATCCTTCTATACAATTTGCAGTGTTTGTACCACGACGGAGGGCCATGAGACACTACAGAACCGTGACGTTTTGTTCAATTAGTGCTGTGAGGGATGTGCACTTCAAATGTTATCTTCATCATGCAGCGCATGAGGGTGGGAGAGTACTCACTGTGCAATAGAAGCACCCCATCATTAAAAGCAATTATTCCTCAAATCCCCTCCTCGGGCAGTTTAACAAAAGCACGAACCAGCGACACATAACAAATAGTGCAAGGGCAAAGCCTCTACGCCAGCAGTCACAACACGAAGCAACAATAAGCAAGTATGATGAGTTCATAACAAGATGCCCATCACTGTGTTAATAGAGCACCGCTCACCCAGGGAAGGATCGTCATCCTCTTCTGGGTCAGACTCCATCTCTGGCTGAGCTGACTGCGGCCCCACGTTGTCAGCGGCATTTCCAGATGGCCCAGCCTGGGCCGCCGCTGGGCCTGAGGCCCTCCGGAGTGCAAGCCCTGCCCCCTCGGTGATCCCAGCTCTGGCTCTGGGTTGGGAACCGGAGCCGTCCAACCAGGCCGCCAACTCAGCACCGTCCACCAAACCCGTGGCCTCGCTGGACCCTTTAGCAACCCCGCTCGGCCCTGTCTGGCTCACGGGCCAGTGCGGTGCAGGCCTGGTCACGCCGCCCCGCTGTAGCCGCTCTGCGTTGGCGCTTCCTGATGTTTCGCTCTCACTCCTGCCAAGTCGGTGCTTGCCCGGTCGGTCCACGTTGCCACCTGTCCTGCTCGTGGAGGCGCTCGACAGCCGGTCTGCTTCGAGCGCGCCCTGTGCCGACCCACCCGGCCTCTCGATGCTCGCCAGCCAGCCCGAGAGCCCGGCGCTGCCGCCGCCGATGCTCGCAGCCCGGAGCGGCGCGGCCCTGCGCAGCTGATGCTGGCTCTGGCTGAGCGTCCTGCACTCCTCTTCCACGCGCATCAACAGCCGCTGGATCTCCCTGTTCCCCGGGCACAGCCGCACGGCCTCGCGCAGGTCCAAAAGGGCTTCAGAAAATTGCCTGTAGGCGTAGGTGAAGAAGGTGGACATGGAGATATGAAGCGAGATTAAAAAACAATGGGGGTAATCAATATAGAAGCGGGGGAAGATTCATAGTACTTACCTTAGACATTCGAATTCTGTTACTTAAACAGCAACAAAAATGACATACAAGGGGAAAATATCACGTAAAATAAATAATTATACGTATTTACGTAAAGGGGTCTGACAACAAAGTCTTGAGAATAACACACGAGAAAAAGTCACGAGCTAATATATTATTTGAAAATGCCACCTTGAAATAACAATCATGATATATCATGAGTGTTAATGTTCGTATTTACTACAACAGAGTAATTCAGCAATAATCAGCCTGGAATGAAAGTTAATGAGATGGGAAAAACATACCTGCATAATCATGATAACTTATGAATCTAAGCCGTTGGTAATGTAATATTGTAATAGATCCATATGACATAATTAACCTCACCTTGTCACAACCCAGCAAAATCCACACTTTTAAACACAATGTGTTGCAAATGTAGTTGGTAATTACTGTATTACAGTGGTTTTGAGATGAACGCCATTAGTTGCTGTCATCGCTAACTGCACTGTGCTCATAAATTGATTACAACTGCAGGCTAACATGCTACATTTTTATCCACCGGTGTTTAACATTTGTCAGTTATTTTTTGGATTGTCAAATCAAACATTGTATCTGGTAAGGAAATGTAATATAATTACAGAGGTCTGAACAGCAGACTGAACATATTGGCCAGGTAGCAGTCTTCAATTTGGTTGAAATGGTCACATGACCAAATATCTCACATTCCTGGTTTGACCACTTTATTTTTGGTGGCGGCTGGATTAGCATTGCTACAAGCTCCTCTTCATCAGTATCTTTGTGGGATGTTTGTATACCGCGAGGGGTCTATCAATGCATCGATTAATTTTCAAGATAAATTATTGACGCCTTGAATGATTCATGTAAGTATGTGTCTATACATTGTGTATTGCATGCAAATGGTTAATATGCTCTGGCAGCAACGTGAGGACACGACATTCACCACGATGTCAAACAAATAAGAGATCCTTCACGCGAATGGAAACCATGGATCATAAAAATGTATCTAATTGCTGGGTCCAAGGAGCGGTGTTAATAATGCCACCCCTATAAACCACCTTCTAATATGGTGTGGCCAACAGCACAACTTCTCTTCACTGCTGTATAGCAGAGAAACCCACCTGCAGACAACCCACACTCTCCAGATTATAAGACACTGCAAAGTGAGACGCACCCAAAACCTGTGCCCCGTGTCAATAAGGTATAAAAATATGTCGCATACATTTCACCCCTATCAGCTAATAATATGCAGCTTATATGTGTGCTTCAAAATACAGGAGGGAAATGTGCATCTTATAAGCCAAAGAGCACAGCAGGAGGCAGCCTATGTTGTGAGACAGTCCATGGGCAAGAGCAGAAATTGGTACCACATCTAAGGTGGCAAAACGAAGTGGTAACGATGTGTTTTTACGGCTAATAAGAGTGAATTATTTGTTCTCACATAATCCACTGTTATTGGCCACATAGAGAAGCTGGAACCACTACAGCGATGCCATCTCAGGTGATACCAACAAGTGAAATATATCTGGTCTAAACTAATATATCTGGTCTAAAGTAATATATCTGGTCTAAAGTAATATATCTGGTCTAAAGTAATATATCTGGTCTAAAGTAATATATCTGGTCTAAAGTAATATATCTGGTCTAAAATAATATATCTGGTCTAAAGTAATATATCTGGTCTAAAGTAATATATCTGGTCTAAAGTAATATATCTGGTCTAAAGTAATATATCTGGTCTAAAGTAATATATCTGGTCTAAACTAATATATCTGGTCTTAACTAATATATCTGGTCCTAACTAATATATCTGGTCCAAACTAATATATCTGGTCTAAACTAATATATCTGGTCTTAACTAATATATCTGGTCTTAACTAATATATCTGGTCTTAACTAATATATATGTCTAAACTCATGGACTAAGAGCTTGAAGGACACTGCTGCACGCCACCACGAGGCCTCACCTGCTGCTGCGTTTGGCCCGAGCGCGAGCGTAGAACGCCTCAAACGAGTCCGGCTTCAACTCCAGCGCCTTGGTGGCAAATTCCTCAGCGATTCCAAAATCCTACCAAAAAATAATTTCGAGATGTGAAATTAAGACAAAAGTAACCCTCAAGCAGACACTGCAATCATAATCACACAGCAACACCTGCTCATGGATCTCGGTAAAATTAAATAAACTATCGCTGTGCTTAATTGGATGTTTCACACAGGGCCACGCACCAGACAGTAGTGTTGTAACAATGTGTCACTTCATGTCGTATTCTTAAGCTCACGAGATACATGCATCGCGTCACGAGTGTAAGAATCACTGTTTTCATATTTGTATGTTTCATGTCAGGGGTTCATGCCATCTATCAGGGCCACTAGATGAGCAAAACAGGTAACTTGTTATACCTCTAAAGTGTACATATTTTGGTAATTAAACTCCTGGAACAGCATCCCTCCTGATAATGTTCAAAACCTACAACAGCATAAAAAACTGCTTGAGACATAAGAACTCTCCTCACCCAGCAATGTTCTTGGAATTATTCAGACATTGCTTGCTAAAGCCAAAGTCAGTGTGCACAATGGGGAAAACATCACACTTAAAAACTGACGTCTCCTGTGCTGTAGCATATAACAAATGCACATTTAGAACCTGAGACCTGTGTCGGAGAATTCATTCGGTGTGAACCAACTTCAAAGATTACCTACAATCAAGAGCTTTAAGCTAATCGGCAAGCAAACATTTCATCTTCAACGTCTCCCTACTTTACATTACATTTGGCTTTGATCGTTCTTAAACGCGCATCTTGGTATTCTATACAATGCTCCATTTCGACATGTCGGTATTCGTTGGTGCACGTTTTGTTACACAGCCCACGTGATCACCCATGATCACGCCATCTTGCAATGGCACTCACGTTCATCTTGCGCCGGCAGCGCGAGAGGTTCAGGAAGACCGTCACTTTCAGGTCGGTAAAGTTCTGCTGGTCCTCACTGAGAGCCTCTCGTGGCAGCTTCTTCAGGGCGTACTGGTAGCGCTGGGCAGCCTCCTTCATTCGTCCTTTCTGTTGCGTAAACAACGCACGGGGCAAATATGCGGACCGTTCAGAGCTGCCAGCCCACACACATCCTGCTCGTCAGCACATGCTGCTCGCCATAAAATGTACAATGGGATCATTTAAAAAAAAAGAATCCTCCCCTCCGCAAAATAAAATTCTGGCTAGAAAAACTGAAATTGGCATAAAAATATTGCGCCTATGTATTTTCACACGTGACACGTGCTCACCACCCACAGTGTTCTCCTCCACACATTAATCACCTGCCAATCTGTCTCGACAGAGGGGCCACGAACACCACAAACAGTGCCAAATATAATTAAAAGAAAAACAGTAAAAAAAAACCTAAAGAAAAACTGTGCACACACTGTGTGTTTATCCTCTTAAAGGTGAACACCCAGTGACCTGGTCTCTGAGAAAACAAGACTGGATGTGTGTCAGTTTGTTGTTAGTGCAGATGTTTATTAGTGAAATGTTTTTCCCTCACATATAACAGCTATCTGCTGTCTACAAAAATGTCCTTTAAAAAAAAAACAATGCTATTTTGTTCGTTCTTTAAAACTAGTCTTTTTCCCGTCCAAGGACGGGTGTGTATTGCAGTAAATCTGATACTTGCAAGCGAAAAGCAGACTGCGACGTGATATTCATTGCATCAATGCGTGTGCAATTTGTAAGGGTGCGGTGACACAGACTTATTTCATTTAAAGGTTATAATCCCTTGTTCATCATGACGTCCTTTTTACTTTCATGTTTCAACAGCGTTACGGAGATCACGTGACGTGAGAGTTCTGGCTTTGTAGTAGGGGCTGTAAGTTGACGCCGAGGAGGGGGGGAGGAGGCGCCTCGGCCAGCCACTAATTATTATGAATGGGGGGGGGATGTCCATTTGGAGGATGTCACCTTATAATGATTATTAATGAGGGGGGCTGTTGGATGTGGAGTGATGTCACCTGCTCATGATTATTAATGAGGGGGGCTGGTCGACGTGGAGTGACGTCACGAGCGTTGCAAATAGACATTCCTGGGGGATTATAGTAGGTATAACTACATGGGTCCTCAAATCGTCGCAAGTCATAAATTACCGCACATCTGTCCTTTATTGACCCTGTGATATAATAAGTGGTTCTAATAGTGGCCCAGGTGAAGGCCCGCTGCTCCCTTAAGAAAGCGAGCCAAGTGACCCGTTACAAGGGAGCTCCACGGCCAGATAGGACATAGCTTTGCCTCAGTGAGCCTGCCATTGGAACCTGGGCCAAGCCCACTTTTCCCGGTTCGCAAACAGGGCCTTATAGGTGCTCAAGAGACATGGGGCGTCCCCCGTTCGCTAGAGACCACCACGGGCTAAGAGCCTGAAAGGGGGGAAAGTAGAGTATCCCCCGGTGGCCCTCACCTTGTACAGAGAGTTTCCTTCCTCGATGAGCTTGTTGAGCAGCACGATGAGCACGTCCGCTTTGGATGTGGCCATAGCCCAAGCGGCTGGCCCTGCCAAGCAATCGGATTGATCCCCAAGGCGACATCAAGCAACGAAACGTAAATAAACAAAAGCAAACAAATAATAAAAATAGGTATGACAATGTAGTTGTTGCAATGAAAAATAAATGCATGCACATACAAAAAAAGGCTTTTTTAACAAAAGGTATATGATTTAAATCAAACGAAACAACTTTCAGAAATAAAGGAAAGGAAATGAAATAAATAAATAAATGGAACAGGAACACAGGTGAGGGATGCATCATGGCGAGGAGATCACCTGGCTCACAAAGCCACCTGATTGCTCATCAGGATAGGTTTTGTAGCCTGATGCACACAACAACAATGAGGACGGATGAATAGGAAGGAAAAAGAAAAGAATCAAGATAAAGAGTTAGAAACAGTGTGGGTTAAATGTATATAGATTCTCCAGCAATGGCAACTCATCCAGTTAAGATTTGCTGCTGTAAAAATTAACTGAGATTTAAAGGTGTTTTTTTCCATAATATATCCACTGATGTGCATTGAGGTTTCTTTTTGGAAAACGGCAGATACCCACAGCACCAGTATGACTTAATAAAATCAAAACTCTCACTCGCAAATCAAATGATCCTTGGTTCTTGAGGTGTTTATTTGCATATTTCCATCACTGCAGTCCTCAAGGTTGAGGCATGTGTGTGGGTGAAGTTAGTTGCGTTACAAATATTGGCAGTCACCCAGTACGTGCTTTATGGCTGCCAGTAAATACTGACTGCCATGCCATTTCGATGCTCTCGTGGCATAAAAATTAGAGTTGAGAAAATGTGAAAAAAGTTTTTTTATTCCACGAGGAAAGACTCACTCAAGTCTCAATACTATTTTTTTTAATTCAAGGTAAGTATTGGAATGTTGGGCCACATCCATTTTTGTAATGGGTGAGCCTGGAGAAAACGCATGAGTAGGAGCAAAATAACACTGGAAAATCATGATTAAAAAGCGGTCATAAACCTATTTGTTGCACTGTCACATCCTGGTCACCCCTTACAGTTCAGCGTCTCGTGAATATGATAATATCGGTGGTGCTCCACCTTTCCCACCTCAAGAGTAATGGACTATGGCCGTGCACCCTATGACGTTTGTTCAATGTGGGAGCGTGGAATGTACGTACCTAGGCGAGCCCCCTTCCTGAGTAGAGCCACCACCACAGAGGAGTTGCGGCAGCCGATGGCGCGATCCAGCGGGCTCATGCCACTGTTGTCCGTGTGGTCGATTGATGCCCCATGCTCAATGAGGCAGTCGATCTACGCCACGAGGGGACAGATCGTTCACAATTAATAACACTTCCGGTCAGAGACATACTTTCCTGATGATTTGTACACGCGATATCTAGTTGGTGGTTTTGCTTACGTCACGATGTCATCTTTTTTGTGGGTGTCGAAATGCATTCTTGCAGCCACCGATACCCCACACCACAGGGCAACAAACATGTTTTGGGGCTGATGTAAATTTGGCTAGCCTTAAAAACACAGAAACTTTACACAAATCTCAGAACAAAAATCTCTAACATTAAAAACAATTCCTCATATCCTAAGTACCTCCTAGATGATATTTATATACTCCCAATGTTACAAGTGGTTAAATATTAAAGGCATCAGCAATTTAAAACATGAAGAAACAATCAATTCCATACTTTTTCAGTACAGCATTGATAAGTAAATATTATTTTAAGCATTCGAGTGAAATTCCCCACAGCAATTCATGTTAAAGTGAAAAAAAAACATTCTTTATTCACAGTGTGTCAACTAAGTATCGGCGGTAGTGTTTTTTTCCATGAGGGTGTTGATTGGGATGTCGGGGCAGCTCTATATTGAGTGTTTTGCCCCAACCACAGCATGTGCCGTTCCGCAATCGTTCCTCACGGCACTAAGAAGTGGATCGTGATGATCAGCGTTTGCCATGCGAGCCACCGCACGCCAGGGCCAGCGGAGAAAACGAACCACGTTCTCGTCGCCGTAGAAGGCGGCCAGGTCTAGGGGTGTGCGCCCGCTCTTGTCCGCATGCTCGATGGCAGCGCCGTTCTCCAGCAGGAATCGCACGACGGGAAGCCGCCCCTTGAGGCATGCCCAGCTCAGAGCCGACAGGCCCTCGCGGTCCACGGCTGCCACCGAGGCCCCTGGAGGGACATGCCATGTGCGGTGGTTAGCCGGTCGCAACATAGAAGGCACCGGGCATTCACGCTGTCAGCTGGAGTATCACGTGGGAGACTAAACCGATGGACAGAGACTAAACCGATGGACATCGAGTATCACGTGGGAGACTAAACCGATGGACAGAGACTAAACCGATGGACATCGAGTATCACGTGGAAGACTAAACCGATGGACATCATGGGAGCTCGATACAAACTAGATAAAATATATCTAGCTTGACACTACTTTTGGTGTAATCCAATCAAAATAAAAGAAAACAATGGGTGGTAAATTCATCACCTTTAATTTGCATACATTTGGGAAATCTGCACGAGCATATTTGGAATATGTGCGGATAACACATACAACAAACTGTGCACGTTTAAATATAGTGTCGGAGTGGCGCTGCTTGAATCGGGGGGGAGTTAGTGGTGTGGGGGATGATGTGAGATGTCATTAAGCTACCACCTCGTGTGGGGCAAGGCAGAGGAGCAGGAACGGCATGCAGGTATTGTTTGTGGTGCACTACGATGGAAATTATTCGCGTACACAGGGTCCCCTTACAGCATGTGTCATAGAGACAGGGTGAGAGGAATAGAATACAGAGGTAGAGGAGGAGGGAGAAGGGTTATTGACAGACAGATAAAAATATATGGAGAGAGAGAAATTAGGGCAGGCAGAAATATAGGCAGGCAAAAAGATGAACACAGAAAATTGAGTCAAACAGACCAAAAAAAGATAGACTGGCAAGAAAACAGACAGAAAAAAAGTATAGACGTATAAAAAATAGAGACAACCAATAAAGCACACAGACGATGGTACAGTTAGAAATGCAGGAAGAACACGTTTTGCGCATTCTATGGTTCTTTCGGTGAAGTCACGTACATAGAAAAAATATCAATAAAATAACGAATATAAAGCGAATACAAATATCACGACGTTTCGATCGCAACACAAGCGGTTGTCACCAGGAACAGGGAGGTTAGCCTCTGAGGGCAAGCTGTTTATAAAGGTTTAGAGATGGGCGGGGCAGCTAATGTTAATGTGGGAAGGGCTCCGACACAGGCAGTAGGTCTACACCAATCAAAGAGCTGATTATAAAGGTTTAGAGATGGGCGGGGCAGCTAATGTTAATGTAGGAGAGGGCTCCGACACAGGCAGTAGGTCTACACCAATCAAAGAGCTGATTATAAAGGTTTAGAGATGGGCGGAGCAGCTAATGTTAATGTAGGAAGGGCTCCGACACCGGCAGTAGGTCTACACCAATCAAAGAGCTGATTATAAAGATTTAGAGATGGGCGGGGCAGCTAATGTTAATGTAAGAGAGGGCTCCGACACAGGCAGTAGGTCTACACCAATCAAAGAGCTGATTATAAAGGTTTAGAGATGGGCGGGGCAGCTAATGGTAATGTAGGAGAGGGCTCCGACACCGGCAGTAGGTCTACACCAATCAAAGCATTGCACCTCACTTTATTTTTATTATTTTATTATAATTTTTTCGATCTACGTGACTTTACCGAAATAACCATAGAATACATTTTGCGCAGTTTAACATACACATCTCACAATCACAAAATCCCCGAGATCCACAACTGTATTCATGCAGCCTTGGAAGAGAACTCTGCGCATCAGATATCGCTTCAGTAACAAGCCTAGCTGCCTGTTCATCCGTAAAAGTTGCCACTTGTCTTGGTCGGAGGATCCGAGCTCACCCTGGGAGTGCAGGAACGCAGCGGTCTGCAAGTGGCCCTCAGAAGAGGACACCATGAGCGGCGTGCGGCCCTGCCTGTCCGTCACATTCACGTCCACGCCGTGGCTCAGCAACAGCTCCACCACCTGCGGCCATGGGAAGCTCTCGCTTAAATACTCAGCACTGCTGATGGAATGATATACAAGGACAATGTCTTTTGATGGATTGTTATGAATGGTTAACCAGTATCGTACATTGGTAAGGTTTCACATTATTCTCCAACTGCAGAAGCTGGTAATTATAAAGCCTACTTAATAACAGTTTAATGTACAGTGCCAGTGACAAGTGTTTTTTTTCATTATGCACATGCAGGCATGGGTATAGCAAGTTGAATTACAGTATTTTATAAATATCAAATCATGACACTGCAAGATGTTAATGATTGAATAACCACCCGGGGAATATTATCAAAATAGGAAAAGATAAGCAAATAACGTGAAAGACCTTGTGATATAATTTACAGAGCAGCATTAAATGCTGCCCGTATGTGCCAAATTTGGTTAAAGAGAAAACTACCGGTAATTACTCAATCGTAACTTCACTCATTAAGCACCACCCCCTTCATTCACTGCCTTCTGGCTAAAGAAACCACTATGCTGAGCTAAACGGGATACCCTACCCCTTGGCGTGGCTACTGTAGGGCAAATTTACGTCTGGCACAAAAATTGCTGAAGTACATATTAGGTGAGTAATGAGTCGCCCACGCTATGGATTCCATGAATAGTAACAATTATACTCAAAAAGCAATTCTATTTGTCTCGTTTGTAGATTCTCTTGTTTTTTTCGCATCTTGTTTGTACACTTTTGTTTGCTCCATTACACTAATTCATAAATAATATACTTGCACGCACAATTAGATATATGCATCACAAGTGTAAGAATCAATGAAAGAAATCAATGCATCTTTACGTGCTGTGTGCATATTATTCATCTATGACCAATTAACCCAGAGTGCATCTGATCTTGTCAGATCTCAGAAGCTCAGCAAGTTTTGAGCCTGGATATTGCTTGGATGGGCGACCAAAAAAGGTTATGGGCAGCCCTCTGCTGCTCGCTCAGTGCAGTAAAATCCAATGTGGTATTGCCCTTTCTATGCTCCCTGCCATCACCAAACCACACCGACCAATATGAATCCTCAAAAGCCGCATGGCGTGGAGAGGTCCCCATCCAACAACAGATTGACAAACGACGTTTTCTGTTCACATCATCTATTGACCACGGTATCACGCACCGGTTGTGGTTTTGGAAGATGAGCGTGGCTCCTACCTGCCAGTGTCCCTTACGGACGGCACCAAACACAGGGACGACACCCTGCCTGCTGGCCTGAGACGCATTCGCTCCCCACTCCAGCAGCAGCCGGCAGATCTCGAGCCGGCCCTGGGTCGCCGCCGCCGTCAGAGCTGTGAGAAGTTGCATTGATCTTAGAGCAGAGGACTCGCAACAACCCAATCGTCAGCTCAGCATTGTGTTTTTATTACGAAAGTATATCCAAAATGTCAGCGATAAGGGGTATCTGAACCAGTCCTGGGCTACCCCCTCCTTCACGAACCCACCACCAGGCAGCGTGGTGAAGTATGTAAAACCAACCCCCTGTGACTGACAAGGCATGTAAATACTAAAGGTGAGTTCCACATGCTGACAATGTTGGCTTGATATTTCAGACTGTACTTTAAGAACACATTAGGAACCAAAGAAGGCTGATGCATTTCACCCTTTTAAGTGCTTATCAGCTAGTCATGCCCAAATATGGACTGTCATGGGACGGAACTTCCAGGAGAGGTATCAAGGCAAGGAAACATAACAAAATTTACTTCAGGCCCAAGGAAGTTACGGCAACAGACATAATTTTAGTGACGCAATTATATACTTAGTTATTTTAATGTGTTTACGCAGATTATTTTAGCAACTTTTTTTAACTAAACTGTGTAATCCACTTTAGAGAGACATTATTTATATGCCAGATATGCTGTGCCATTAAATCACAACAAACGAGGATTTATATTGCCTCGTTTCCAAATAAATCACCCTGCAGGCAGTTTCATTACAATTTGACTACGTAAGTGTCACCCGTAGGTTATTGGTTTACACCAATAGCAATATCTCTGGCTCTGCGTGACCTTACACCATTCCCGGCAAATTAAACTCCTTTTGCAGCCCACGCAGGCTCCGGGAGATTTTGACAATAAGGCTCTCAGGCATCCGGCCTCGCGGTGTCAAGAGGTCACAGCCGAGACGCGCTAGAGACGCAACGTGAATAGGAATGGCGGCGCTGCCCCCGAGAGGCGGGGAATCGCAGCCGCTGGCCGCATTTGCCCAAAATCGGGTCCTGAACAAGAGCGGAGGTGTCCGCGTGAAATGAAAAACACGAGGCTAACAAAAAAAGCGACCACACCAATACCAACACGTCGCCTCTTATAAAAACAGTGCAAAGTAAAACATGACATGTTTATATTCCAATAACCCCTACTGAGCTGCTTGTCGGGTTATCAGGGAGGGAGCACGAGGTAGTTTACATTGCAAGCCTTGCAGTGCTGAAATGTCAGCTGAGTTTTTCCAGTGAGGAAAGAGTGGCGGCTATCTCGGAGAGATAATTGCTACCAGGCTCATGCCGGTTTCCTGTCTGCAAGGCGGCTCCTGGTACAGCCTGTCCCAAGTCTTATATCGGCACACTCCTTCTTTCCATTATTGAACGGGGTCTCAGTACCAAAAGTAATTTTTCACTTCATGGAATTGTATCACTCGCATCAAAATGCGAATACTACCCTAACAACACTATTCGTCAAAAGCTTAAATTTGACTCATCCGTGAGAGAAACACAGGCTGTCTACAAAAAAACCTTGCAGTGCAGTAACTCTCGTGCTCTAAAATGAAATGCCAACACCCTGGTTTTTTTTTTGCACCATGTGCTATACAATAAATTCTTTCTAGGTCACCAACGCTATCGGTTTGTGCAATGGTGGAGTCGTCCTATATTCCTCCGTCATTCATCGTGCGCTCAATAAGGTCCATTTGCCCCACATTCTGGAAATGTCCCGATTAATTTTAATAGCCCAAGGAAAATGTGTTATGTGGTACGAGCTAAAATAGAGGCAGGTCACTTGAATCCCTTGGTAAAGAATCTCCACACATGCAATAGATTTTCTCTGCTACGCACGTTCTCCTTTGAGCCTATGGACATCAAGCCACACATCTAAAGTAGCAGCCAGTGTACATACCACGGTGAAACAATGCATCAATTCCTCGATTAAAAAACTATTATTAAGCTCACCATACAATCATAGTCAAGTGTGTAAGAATCGATGTATTTTTATTCATATATGTTGTATGTAATGGGTTCATGTCACACCTGCAGCTGTTGGAGGCAACACCATTCACCGCATATTGTTAAAAAAATAGACTCTTGAATAGAATTGGGGCAATGAAATGCGACCAATCATAATATCGGTGAGACAATTAATAATTTTACCCCAAGCACAAAAGCAAAGGGCCTCAAAAGAATGCCACCATCCCCAACGGTTGACACATGGCCCATCTGACACACAACACAATTTTGCATTTAGAAAGCGCCTGTTCTGAGAATCTCATATTCCAGAAAAAAAGACAGGGAAGGCATGCGGGTGTTTTGGAGCCAGTACTCTATCATTAATAGTTACTCAATCAGATCTGCAGTGTAAATATGATTTTGGAAATTCTCATGATCCGTAGCCTGGAACCACGATTCCATTCTTAGAAACTAATATTTTCACGATCAGCGAAACCATGAAACAGTGGAGGGCTGGCTGCGCAGAACCTGTTGTGGCGTTTAGCTGAGAAGGAAGGGCTTGTGGGGCCTGGCCGGCGTGCAGAAATCATCCTGGATCCATTCATAGCAGCTGAATAGGATTCCCGAGGTAACTGTCCAGTTATATTGCCGATACACTTTCCTGAACCAAGAGCTACAACATTGTCCAGACCACAGTCAAGGTGGTCTCTACGCAGACGGGGATGTGGCAAGCGCACGACACCCGAGGAGCCGAAGCGGTACTTTACACTTGTGGTTACGTTCAGATAGACCTCACTTAAAACCCGCATGCGTCCGTCACGCTCATTCTCTAGACTTCAGCAGTTATCTCCGCATGGACAAGTGGCAGTGTTAGGTTGGGGTAATGTAAAAGGTCAGGCGAGCCTGCCTGTAAGCCAAGATTTTCACGGTCTGCTTCCTCTCAGGCGTGCGTGGGTACTGTCCTGCCTCGCTCTCTCTGGCAGGGATGAGATTACAAGTGAGAAACACATCAGTTTATTTATACACCACTTCCCCACTACGGAATATTTATGTCCATGAATGGACCTGAAGACTGGTGGTGTTTGAGGAATGTTGTCGATGTTGTTGTTGTTCTTGGGCATCAAGTTACAGATGCTCGGCTAAGTTTGCTCGGCAGCAGCGAGTAAACCCATCACCGACGGGCACAGCCTTACACGACACCGCATCGCCATGGAGACGGCAACGGAGACATCCGGCAGCTTAAAATATAACTCACTCAAGGTGAGGTCACTTGTGGGGCATTCACATTCCCACGACTGTGGTTACTGTTTGCAGGAGTTGTGAGCCACCTCGGATGAAAAAATCAGAAGTAACTTTTGTAACGTGTGCTAAGACTTTATGGGTTTCATCATTATCATAATCATCATCATCCATTGCAATCATCCACTTTTCATTAACTCCCTGTTGGGCCAGCCGCTATTGAATAGGCAGTTAGTGAGCTTGAGAAGGAGTCTGATGGAATGCTGAGCTCTTCCGTGCCGATAACCCCGCGGCCGAGCACTGCTCTTGTGAGCATTCCATCATCATCATGGTGACTATGGAGTCTCCGCAGTCAATAAGCTGTAGTTGACCTATGGTGGCCTGTTTCAAGTTCCCCAAATGATATTTTCGCCTTTTTAATCTGAAGTAGTCGAGAAAGTTTAAACAAAAAGCTTTATTTAAATCTTGGGGAGAACAATCACTTAAGGTGTTTGTGTAACCAGCCGCAAGATCACCCCACCACGAGGAAATGGAGGCATATGCACACCACGAGTGCTACAAGGTGTGTACAGTAACAAGGAATCTGTGATAATGGCATTTATCCATTGCCTGCTCATTTGAGAGAAACACGGATACCAGCAGACCAAGACACCTCTTCACCTATAAAGAGAGAGAACTATAATCCATTAATTGTAGTGACAAATCCTCATAAAATGTATTGATTTGAACAGATGCATGAAATCAGATCTGCACCACAAATGATAGTGGAATAATAAAATAAGAAGAGTAATCTCGGGCCAAGTTAGGGAGACGCTTGCTCCCTGCTGTAAAGGAGATCCTTGTAACTCTGGTAGTAATGGCATGCGTGTGCTCGTGCCTGTGTGTGCGCTGGCTGGCTGGGACCTGCACTCAACGACAAATCCAAGATTTATTACCTTGGATCGATGGAGGCCTTTTTCACATTGGCATTTACCGGCTACTTACGCGTAACCTGAAAAATGTGCATCACCTGTTAATAATATATACCGATTGATAATTGTAAATCGCATTTGCAGAAAAAAATACAACGTTGTGATACAAGTCACCCTACCCAGGATGACAATCAACTAATAGAATCTGGGTAAGGCTTTAGACATGACTTGGCATCACAGTACTGCATATTACACCATTAGAAGCAGTACCTGCTGTGGGTACGTTTCACCCGTTATCTGAGACTCTACTGGCAGGCATACAGCCCCTCTTGTTTGCCGAAGACAGCACAACACTCATGTGATACCAATAAATCCTGTGCGTGAAGAAACTGACAGTTAAGGTGCTCAGAAAATGGATTTAGATATGTGTGCCGACTACCTCCTATTAACAGCCTTTTGTAACTGTGACAAACGTTCTCTTGAACTCAATTGGAACAGCTTTGGTGTAGAGCTAAAAATGCAGAGTTCTTCAAAGATTACAACCCAAGGCTGACTATTAGTGTCAGCATTTGCTAATACCCAGCAAGCGGGCAAGGGCTCCCCTGGGATCGCTTTGTCACGACGGCTTTGCCGTACGGCAACCAGAAGCACTCCCGGGTAGAGGCAGGTTTTAAATCTCGTCGAATGTTAAATGTGTCACTTAATGGCATCTGTGAGCAAAATAAGTTTGCATAAATTTGTTAAAATAATATGCATTTGTCAAACTAATGTGCTGTTATAGATTACATTTAAATAACTGTAACGCTGCTATTTTCTTGACAGTCTAATAAAAAAAGTAAAATTCATAGTGCCGACAGAATCATTAGGTTCCCTAACCTCCACTTTACCATCCCTCTTATCTTACGTTGAGCACACATTTCGCGCTGACCAAGAATTTACGTGAAATATCCCATAAAATAAATTCAATGAGCTACACTGTAAGGACATT